GAGGATGAAAAGGCAGGTTAGTTAGCACATCGTGACGAATTCAACGATAAACTAGTCACAATGGTTTCCAGAGGGAACCGCGTGGAGGTCTACCCGATAAAGTATATTAATAGCAATAATACACCTTATTGCAAATATATATACAGTTACTTATATAATTGTGCATTGAATTTTAAATAAATAAATAAAAATAAGAAAATAAAAAAGTAGCAAACAAAACAAAATACCTAAGCATTCAACTTATAATTTTCACATAAAATTATTTCATGAAACATTCATTAGCTGTAACTAGAAAAATGTATTTTTTTGTAAAATCAATATTACTGGCTTATATTATATAGATGGAGCATCGAGCCTCTAAAATAGGTCAACTTTTTGTCAACTAATTAATCAAATTAGCTGACTCGTTTTTTTATATCAGTGTTCTATATACTTAAACATAAAATGTATCTTGATGTATTGTTTAATAAATAAAATAAATGTTTACACAGTAAAAAGATGCAGAAATTATAAGACAAAATAAATATATAATAGAAGTTATAAAGAAATCACTCGTAACTATTTATCACGTATAATTGTATGAAAAAGTTGATACGTTTTTCTCGAAGTATCTCTATGTAGACACTCTATCTATATCATCTAAGTATATCTTTTATCTCAGATTATAATATATTAAATATCTGTTGCATATATGGTATCCCTATATTTTTTAGTTGTTCATTACAATTACGTATGGCAACACTTTTTAAAAATAAAGAGATTGCATATGGACGCTCCTTAGTTACTTGATGTTTGATCCGTTTTTCTCGAAGTATTTCTATGGAGATAGTCTAAGGATCACTGGTTATTTGAGTGTTTTGTTTATTTCCGCTACCAATTAGTATGTGTGTGACTGTCAACACGCGTAGTTTGACCACTATCATTACTAACAGAAGTTCTACAACCTTTCATATTAGCCCTCAATCTTCGACTGACATTTGTACAAAACCTGCATTTGGTAATATAAATAATTAGAGATTTGTCCTACAAAAAATAACCGACTTCATTGTGACAAAAGTAAAAGTAACTAGTTATTTTCATTTAAAAATAAACTTATATATATATATATATATATATATATATATATATATATATATATATATATATATATATATATATATATATATATATACAGACTTAGATACAGACACAGACATAGCAAAAAAATATAACTGAATTGAAAACCTCGTTCTTTTTAAAGTCGAACGATTAAACACATTGATTTATTTACGTGTTTTTCTCAACTATATATTTTAATGAATGAATAAATAACTTTATATAATGTAACAACTACCGGTTTAACTTACTACACGCAAGTTAAACTTAACTATATTGTCTAACTATATGTATAATGTGTACTTATCAAACTTTTAACAATAAAACTATACCGTCATATCAGCCGTAAACTGTCCATTGCTGAATATAGGCCTTACCCACAAAGGGGGGTTTATCAGTTGCCATGTTTGGCAAGCGAGTTGGCAACTGCAGTTAAGCTTCAGTGATATTTTATTATTATATTATAAGATATTATATTATTATATTATATTATAAGATGGACGCTACTGCCCACACCTCGACCATTAGATTCCCTTAATCCTACGACATCCACGGGAAAGGAATGGGTTGCCTATTCTATGCTAGGCCACACAGCTAATAAAACTATATATTTGTTATTTATTATATTCATAAATTCAAGAATGTAATATCGTTCCAATTTACGTTCGCCAAAAACATTGAACCTTTTTGCCAAATATGTATCAGATTCAAGCTAATAACGGAACGGCGCATTCAACATATTACTATACCACACCAATTTCCAGCAATTATTGTTGAAACGAGAATTCAAACAATGAGAATGAAACACGAAAATCATTTCACACATCTATTGTCTCTGTCGCACAATGGAATGTCAACAGCCATTCATCCAAAAAGTGCACTGTAGGCATTGTACGAGAATCGTATTTTCAGGGCTTAATATAAAACAATGATACTGTGATGAATAGATGACGCAAGTTTGATTACTAAATTTGGCAAGTATCGTTAAGTATTTTTGTTACAAATTCATTACAAACCTTTATAATTTACCGTGTTTTAGATTTAATTTCATTTACTAAGCGCTAACTAATTAACAAAACACTTAGTTTCTTTATTTTTAATTAATGATAATGAAAAGGTATTCCCGCCTGCGCTAATGATATACGCTGACAGAGTATTAGTGAGGGATGATAGGTGAGAACCTGACAAATGACCGCATTACTAATGATTCCCCCCTCCCCCACCTCATCTAGATAGATTTGCAATGCAATTAGTTACCCTAGAAACTACTGACCGCTGAATATTGGGAATTTTTTTTTTTATCAAATGACGAACTTGTACAGCCAAATATAGTTTAAAACGACACCCCATTAGATATCATCATCAAGATCGTAGTCATCAGGACAACTCCTTATCCAGATCTAAGGTCTGCAGTAGAAAAGTAACGACTAAATTAATGATGATGATTAATGTCGTAATGTGATAGATTTGGTGGAGTTTTGTGCAGTTATAACATATTCAGACAAAAAAATAGAACAAAAAATTTGCTTTTTTTATACAACTTAGAATGGCAAATAAGCTGACGGCCCACCTGATGGAAAGTGGTAACCGTCGCCTATAGACATAAGCAGTACCATAGACATAACAGAGTATACTGTTTTGCCCATGATACCCCCCATGCGTTGCTATTTCTGAGGACTCAGATGTTATTCCTCTGTACCCTGTAAATTCACGCCATATCCCACCCTTCAAACCGAAACACAGCTATGCAAACACAACTGCTTCACGGTTGAAACACGAATGGGACAGAGGTACTCATGCAATCGACTTTTGTACACCAGCCAAATTAAAATAAAAACGTTCATAGCTATAGACGAAAGTTACCACTTTCCATCAGGTGGACCGTTCGCTTGTTTGTTATTCTAAGTTGCATAAAAATACAGTCATAGGTTTCATATGACCATTAGGTTTAATAAGTAAACAAACATTCGTATTACATAAACTTGCCTCATCTATTTCAATCAATATCTGTGGTCTTGAGATTAAAATAATTACAAGCAGAGAACGATATCTTTAACTAGAGGGTTCCGTGATGGTAACTAACGAAATTTACAATTCATTGATAATCTAAAACAACATTGGTTCGATGCAAGAAGACCAGTCCAAACTATCTTAGAAGGGAGTTCAAATCTTCGAATCCTATATACCTAGTTCGACAAACATAAAATGATTTACTAAAATGGATAAAGCAAGATATGTTTGGATAAAAGTCTTAATTATTCGTTTCTCTCTGCCCACCCCACAAAGGCCTGGCGTATAGACATAGTAAGTTGTTTACAATGGAACACTAAACTAATTTGAAGTGAACCAGCATCTTTTATTTATTTCTTTTTTTAAGATTAATTCACAGTCGTAATACCAAAACAATATATATCTACATTGTACAATTTAATGATAATTTTAGTGATACCGTTGAGAATATTACCTATTTATAATTAAACGTCAACTCTTTTTAAGTCTTTTTTATGCAACGTAGAATAGAGAAAAGCGACTCTAAGTTCCATAAAAAAACTGACGAATCACCTAGAAGTAATACTAAAATGGAAATACTATTTCATGTTTGATACCAGCTCATTGAGCTTGATCTAATTCATTTAATCAATTTATTAACAAAGCACTGTAAATTATTAAACTGCACTGTTCCATTTAATTGAAAAATAGTTGAGAAAAAATATTGCATCCGACATGACTGTATATTATAGTCTCTTTGCTTTTCATTTCATAAATAGAAGTAATAAAATGGAATCGTCACTGGCCAGTACGATACCTCAACGAAAGCATCCCAACGATTTTTCATCGATATTTCCTGCTCTACTAAAATACCTCTCGCAGATCATTCTTTAGTATGAAATCGACTCTAAAATGATTAAGTTCTTATAAAGTCACTGAAGTTGCCTGACTGGTCAGGCCGGTAGATTCTATTCTTTGTCTATGATTATGTAGAACTCTTTAATCTGTGCTATATACATTGTAATGTATTGCAGTGACTTTAGAAAATTCCTTTTATTGCTTTACGATAATTATAATACCTATAAGCTCAAATAATTTCGATACTAGTTCAATGTGTCGGCTTGAATAGCTTGAATATATTAATATAATACCCAGAATATACCTATACAAGATTGATTTCAGGAGAGAACATAATAACAGTAAGTTATAGTCTCTGATTTTCAATTTATTGATTCAACTGTGTGTTATAACGCCAAATGTTGATTGTCCAATTTTTAATGCGCAAATTTGTAAATACGATGCTAATTTACTAGATCTTTTTAATCTATGTCACGCGAGTAAAGCCATGAGGTAGTAATTGATTTATTTACACATTTTGTACATTGATATCGTAGATTTTTTATGTAATAATTTTCAATAAATGACAAAAATATTACGGTACCCTACAGCTCTATCTCGTCCACAAACCAACAAGTATAAAAACCTCAGAGACAATAGAAGCTCAACGCGCGGAAGTCTGTTGCGGCTCTGCCGTAGTGACTACCACAATGCATTCATTATTCCATTATTTAATGAGCTCTGCCACTCACCCATACAATTTTAATAAAGAAATTTTTTCTATAAAATTATCTAGTAAGTTTATATTTTGCTTATAAGATAGGAGTAATAATAAACAAGTCAAACGTACGTCTTTTGAACTTAAATGTATTAGCTTTATTTTGAATCCTCAATAGAATCTCCACACTGCTTTAGGTATTTAGGCTATACCTTAAAATCGATAAATTTATTATAATCATTACAGTATGTAAGAATTTACAGCCGTAAGTAATTTAAAAATAATAGATTAACGTCATCAGTCACTGTCAGTACATCACGACTGACATATCAAATTGTCAAATCGACAGCGTAATATTTTGACAGCACAAAATTTTTTAATTTGGCGCTATTTTTCCATATTTTATGCTTGATTCAGATAAAATATTTTGCGATTAAATTTTGCCATTATTTATGAAATTTTGAGATTTCAGAATATACTTTCCATGCCTCCCTTATTAATCTCCGATAAAATGCCTAATATAAAAACTATTACTAAAACTGCTCGTGTGTTGACCAAAAGACCATTCAAAGTTTCTGTTGAAGGCAATATAGGTTCGGGAAAATCGACGTGTATTAATTTTTTTAATAAATTTCGCAATGTAGAAAAACACGCGGTAAGTTTTATTACATTTTCTTTAGATTGCTTTTGTATAATGTATGTGGTCTAGTTTGGTTGTTTAATTGGTAATAAGTGTTTTTTTTAATGGATGATAATGGAATGGTAACCCCACCTGCGCTATCGGTATACACCGGCGGGGTACCAGTGAAGGATGATAGGTGAGGATGAAGCAGGTCAATTAGCCCATCATGTCGAATTCAACAACAATTGTTCACTATGGTTTCCAGGAGAAACCACATGGAGAATAAGTGTATGTTACCTTCACAGTATCCCTTATGCACTTTCTAACCAGTAATTCCACTGCCATATTTATTTATATTGAAAGCACAGGTATTAAATAACAGAATTAGAGGTATCAATTAAACACCTTTGTTCAGTGTGTCTACTTTTATAATTTATATATTAATCCCTATGACCTTCCAGGAGCCCCTTCATGAATGGCGCAATGTTAGTGGTCACAACCTTCTTGGTATGGTGTACAGTGATATACACAAGTGGACATATCCATTCCAGCATTATGTACACCTTTCTCGATTAAAAATCCAAACAAGCCCACCGTCTAATCCTGATATTACTGTTAAAATGTTTGAAAGGTAAGTATTCAGTTTTACACAACTAAACAACTTAATATATTACTGCACTTCAGACATAATTTGCTATGCTATATGTAACCAAACAAACTCTCCTTTTTGGGGGAAGCCTATGTCCTGCAGTGCAGTTAATGTCTGGTGTAATAATAAAATAAATCACTTTTAGACTTCAATCTGTTTCTAAATATTATATGTATAACAGCCACTTTTTAAGATTATTAATTTATTTGAATATTCTGGTTCCACCTTTAAAACCAGCCTAAAGTAATAACATACAAGCTACAAAAACAATATCTTTTTACTTAGATTGTATAGATAGAACATTAAGTGCCAAAAATAAGTCAAAAGTTATTCAGCTATTTAGCTGCTAATTTTAGCATTTAGGTGACTAAATGTTCATTATTCAAATTCATAATTCATAAAAATATTTACAGATCAGTACAAAACAGCAGGTTTTGTTTTGTGGAAAATGCAAGAAAACAGAAATTCTTGGAGGACCCCCAGTTTCACGTTCTAAACAGCTGGTATGAATTTATGGAGAAAAACTTGGACATCAATTTAGACCTTATAGGTGCAGTACTTTTTTCTATTTAATTTCTCAATAGCCACTTGGTGGAAAGTGGTAACTATCATAAAAAATCTAGTATTTGATATTGTACTATGAAGAAAGATTACTTTTTAAAATTATCATCAACAGTATTCATCAGTTGTGATGAAAAAAAATCTTAAATATAGTTTTTATTATATTTTCAGTATATTTAAAAACTTCCCCGCAAGTAGTTTGGGAGCGTATGATGAAACGCGGCCGAGCTGAAGAGTCAGAAGTACCTTTAGAATACTTACAGCAGGTTAGTAAGTAGTATTAGTGTGTGATAATAGAATCTATTCAAGTTCAAATCTTTAATTAGTGCTGACTAGGAGAGTATTATCATCATATTAGCCATTAACTGTCCGCTGCTGACCATAGACCTCCCTCATAGGGAGAGTTCTGCCAGTAGTTGCCATGCTTGACAGGTGGATTGACAACTGCAATTAAGCTAAAGGGGATGTTCAAATATTATTTATATAATGCATATTTTGAATAATTTTTACCCTCCCTCACTCCCTCCTTCTCCTTGTCAAACATGCTGTAACCTTTTCTGTATTTGAAAAATTTGTTGTTAATTCTATTTACTATTAAAATTCTGTATCTGTATTAACAGGTCCATGAATCCTATGAAAACTGGATTAGTTCACCAAATATTGGTTGTGAAGTGCTAACAATTGATGCAGACAGAAACCTAGATCTAGTAAAAGAAGATTTAGAGAGGTATACATACAAGATATTAGGTGGAAATCATACTAATTAATGAGGCTGATTCTCAACTAGCAAAACCTTATTTCTGTATAATTTCTATTATAATTGACATGTTATTTTAATGCCTTTATAAAATAAGTACCTGTATATATGCTTCACCTGTGCCAATTATGTGGAAATTAAAAATATATATATATAGTTAGACAAAAATATTAATATGTATAATAATTGATGATATACTCACCACATTCATATGAGATAATCAAAGAGCATTTTTCATCTTCTGCCTTAGTTCAATTTGTGAAAGCTTTTTATAAAACTACTAAACGAAATTTATAAAGACATTTAGTAATTTATTTATTTTTATTTTTTTGAATCGCACATAATGTTATCGCTAAATAAAAGATTACATTATTATAGCAATTTGAATATTAAAAAAAGTAGCAGGATTTAATTTATTGTACCATGTCATATGACGCAAGTTTTGCTTAATTTCTGTTTTGCTAATATCCTTCCAAAAGCTTAACAATTGATGTTTGATACCTTATTACATCAATTAGCACCATGATCAGGGAATATTACTTTAATTATTGTACAATGACACCAAATGTTATTTTTAGATTATTAAAATCAGAGTCTACTTATTATAATATATACTTGTATAAACAAAGACTATTTTGCTACTGTAGCACAATATATAATTTCTGACAGGTTTTTAAATGTTATAGATAATAGAAATACAATATTTAAACGGATTTTATTAAGTTTTATGTGATTATTTAACCCTACTGTTTCTCATTTGAAGTTACTGGAAATAATGCATACTATACAGCTAAAACATTTAATTAATGAAATAAAATATTAAATAAATTGAGATGATAATGATTTATTTATCTATAAAAACAATTGTTTTTTTTTTTTCCTAGATTTAAGACTTATTTTGAAGAAACTATCACTGTACACAATACTGCAACTTACACCAATCTATTTTCATAATTTAAATACGACCCCGTTGCCCCCAAAATAGGTCTTAAAATTACATTAAACTAATGAAATAAATAGTTTTTTTTAACGATACAAATGATCTGCTCTAATGTTAGACGCTATTTCGCTTTCCCATTTATCACCGTTTGACAGCAGTTTTTCTTTATTATAGAGTAGTTCTTCGTGTGTTTCTGTTGAAAATTCAAAGTTAGGACCCTCTACAATGGCGTCGACTGGACAGGCCTCCTGAAATTGACGATAAAATTATATAAAAAAAAATGCAAATATTTGTCTTTGTGAGATCAATTAACATATATATAAATATCCTTTGTTTCCTCTGAATAAACTTAATCAATACTAAGTTGCTACTAAAGTCTAGTTGACATTTATATGCATCTATACATTCCAATAATTATTTACATATTATAATTTATGAAAAAAAATTCAATAACTTGTAATACCCGAAATCGTTATTGTGATTGTGAATGTTCAGGACTATAATTTTTAAAGGAATATTCAGAGACATTAGTCAATAATTGCTGTTGTAATGAACATAACATACAAATACAAATATTTTCATTGTGCATAGCAAATCCACAAGCATTGGAAGAGTATTAAAGCCTACATCACCAAACTTGTTCACAAATAAAAAAAATTTAGTATATAAGCTTTACCTGACAGAAGCCGCAGTAGATGCACTTTGTCATGTCAATATCGTACCGTGTGGTTCGTCGGGAGCCATCTTTGCGCTCTTCTGCCTCTATTGTGATAGCCTGTCACGAAATACATACATACATTACATTTGCACTGTATTTTTCAATACGATGTTATATTATCTTGCAATAAACGAGATTTAATGATGACAAAATTAATAAAAGGCCAACACAGGAATAAAGCCTATCAATTAAAAAAAAAGGATTAATGAACTCAAGATTGGCAAAAATCTACTTTTAAAAGTCACTTTTAATAAGTGAAAATTAAATGTATATTTGCAATGTACCAGTAAGTGATGATAGCATGAAGATGAAACAGGTGAATTGCCACATTGACAAATTCAACGAGAATTAACCATAACAATAACCAAAGAAAGCAACATGGAGGTTGTCCTAATAGAGACCATTGCTAGCAATGGGGTTGTTAGACCCCAATACTAACAGTCCTTTTCCCTTAATTTATAAGTCACTTATCAATTACATTGTTTTTATCAGAGAAAAACTACAAACTTGTTTACATGCTGCAGCTATGCTTGCATAGATGTCAAGATTTTAAAATTATTATAGGAATAACATTGAGACACTGTTTAAAATTAATTAATGCCATACCTGTGCAGGACAGATTGCTTCACACAGTTTGCAAGCAATGCACCTCTCTTCACCAGAGGGATAACGACGTAATGCATGCTCTCCTCTAAACCTCGGTGACAGAGGACCTTTTTCAAATGGATAATTGATAGTTGCTGGTTCCTAAAAATATAAGTATGCGCCTTATTTTTGTGTATAAAAAGAAATATTGCAATTTAAAAGTACTCCCTACTATTTGGAGGGACAACTTCATATGTGTTGCAAGATTTTCAATTACACTACAAATATAAACAAAATTTCATAGATTATAATAAAAACGAGAGATACTCAGAATAGTGCAAATCGGAACACATTTAATGTGTGAAAGGGTCTCGTTCGAGATGCTTAATTGGTTACTAAATAGAGTGATTTAAGAGAAAGGTCTAGTAGAGAAAAGCATAGAAAATCCAGAATGGCTTACTAGTAAATTATATTAGTAAAATGACCTACATCATAATATTGGAAAATAATTATTCTAATAATATTAATTAGTTAAAAAATTTATTATATTATAATTTTATATTATGAAATAGATAATTAAGCCATATATAAGCCAGTAGTCACTTACCATCAGGTGAGCTGCATACTCGTTTGCCCACTGTTTTAAAAAAAAGTAAAATATAAACATGAAAGTACCTTAAAAACATGAGCTAGGGTAACAGCAAAACCTCTAGCAAGCTCTGTCCAGAACATTGTTTGAGCTGCCCTATCTGACATTTCTTTGAATGTCTCCGCTGGATTTTCAGCATTTACATACTTGTAACCGGGACTATTTGGTGGGTACACTTTTTCTACCTTGCCTTGGGATGAGCTGGCATGGCGGATAAGCATGCCAGTCGTACCAGAGGTACGAGCTGAAAACGATATTGATCAATCACTAATAACTATAGTAAAATAGATTTAGATTTTATTTAATTAAAGTGTGAAATACTATACCAAACGACTCTATAGGTATGTTTAAAAATATGGCATTAATTTATTGTACTAAAATCTAACTAAATTACTATAAATACTTCTTACTAATACATTGAATACTACATCAAAACAATGTATTACATTTACGGAGAAATACCAATTTGTATTTAAAACAAAACAATAAATTCGGTTAACAAAGAAAGTAATAATCGTCTTTATATAACAAAATTAAATGAAAACAATACTGATTTGATAATACGAAGTCAGCTGGTAAATACGTATGAGGTTATAAACAATAGTTGCGTAACAGGACTAATTACGCTTAAAGTACACATATCTAATAATTGTAATACTTCGTAAAGCTACATTACCTCGCGTTGATATTGAAAATATTTTTACTAGAGACATTTTCGTTTATATTTTATAATAATAGAATATTATCGACGAATTTGACTGATACTTCAGTCGAAATTCAACAAAACGTCAAATGAACGAATCGATTTTTCTGATATGAAATTAACAAACTGTCAAAAATTGTGCCAAAGCCATAGACATAATATGTAGCCAAAACAAGTACGTTCTATTCTAAGAACAAGGAATTACGAAATCTTTGATTCTAAATCGTTGAAATTGAGCCTTACTGTCATTTTATCCGACAGGGGCCATTATATAAGTCTCATTTTGACTTTCTAGATTTCGAAATTGAATCAAAGATTTTGAACAGAATAAACAGAATGCAAAAATCTATATTATGCGTTATCGTTGATAAAGTTACCAATCTGTTAGAAAAAAATAAATATACAAAACATTTCAAATCATAAGAAAAAATAATATATAGAATATTGGAAAGTGCCGACTAAGTAACACCTCTCAGGTAGCTTCAATTACAGTAACACTACTTCGAAAACTAAGCTGACAATTTTATACAACAACATTTTACAGTCGCTTTTTTCTAAAGAAAATTTTCTATCAATAAATAAAATTACTTTTTCAATATTATAACGAAATGCTTTCTCACTATATTGGCTTGACTAGAAGAGATCTCTGTCAGAGATAAGTCCACCCTTGCTCACAACATTTATAAATAATATATTGCAATATAAATTTAATACTAATTGAATTTTTTTATCCCACAAAGGTGTCAAACAAGCATACGGCCCACCTGATGACAAATAATTATCGTAGCCTATGACAGCTTGTAATTCCTGGGAAATTACGCGCACGTTACTGACCGTGAAGAAACCTCTTTATCTCTTTTTTGAAAAACCGCATGCTGTAGTCTCAACACAGAGAGAAAACCTCAACATACAACAACAGCTTATTCCATAACTTGGGCGTCCGTGGAAGGAAACATCTCTGAAACAGCACTGTACGAGACCATCTAGAGTCTAAGAGATGCTGGTAAACTAGTTGTCGATAGCGAGTCGTATGATGGTAGAAAGTGACTATGGGCATCATATTGAACAATTCTTTTGCCCACAGTCTGTTGTACAAGCGGTAGAATATGCAAAGTGAGAGAGAAACCCTCCTAAAACTTAAAGATTCAATACCGCTTTAAAAGCTTGTAATTTCAATACGAAGTAAATGGGGGGAAAGGGATTGTTAGTAACGAGGTTTAATAGCCTCATTGCTAGCAATACACCCCATTAGGTCGACCTCCACGCGGTTCCTCCTGGAAACCATAGTGATTAATTATTGTTCAATTGGTCACTATGGGTCAACTGGCCTGCCTTCATACTCATCTGTCACTCTTCACTGGTGCCCTGCCAGCGTATATCGATAATAGGGCCTACCATTCCACTCACTCATTTAAATATTTACTCTTATTTGTTTTATTGTTTGTTGATAATTTAGATATAAACACTTCTTTAAATATAAATAATTCATATTTTATTAATAGATACTTAAATGGTAGGTAGGAATAATGTATCGAATATTCGTGTTCGTTATTTTTTAGCAGATTTGTACGGATCTTTTACCTTATTAAATGTCATTACGTATATAAATAATAATAAATTTATAGGTATTTATAAATTCACTGTCTTAAAATAACAAACACTTTTAAGTTTTGTCACTATATTATTACTTAAATAGCTTTTACCCGCAACTAGGTGCATATGGATTTAAGAAGTATGTAACTGCATATTTTATGTCTAGCATAGAGGTAAAATATATCACATCTAATTAACTTTATATCTATAACATTTAGGTATATAAAATGTCATATACATATATATTTACTAACAAAGAATTCACAGTCTTTTGGGTGTACAACTATAAAAAACTCACTACTTTGTGTGAGTAGTTTGTGGGTAAAGGTGAAATTTGATGATAAACAGACAGACAAGTAATAAACATTCTCAAAATTATTACTGTATTGTAATATTAGCGAGCTTATTGTTATCCAACTCCACGTTGTTCTTTTTAGAAGTCATCGTGATTAATACTCATCACGATGAGCCAGCCCAACTTTCATCTTCGCTTACCATCCTTCACTAGTGCCCTGCCTTTAGCTATTTTATTTTTATTTTTTTATGTAGACTTTAGTTGCCCACTGTTGAATATAGGCCTCTACATAACATAGGTTTTGCCAGTAATTGCCACACTTGGCAGGCATATTGGCTAGTATTTTTGTAATATTTTAAAAATGTACAAAGGTTGTTTATGTGCCACAATTGTATGCCTCTAAAATTAAAATTTCTATTCGATATAAATATAACAAAAATATAATGATTACTTGCTCTCTGGATATAACAGCAAAATTTTGATCTAACAACTGATCTGAATTTAAATTTTTAATAGATTTTTAGCTAAATTTTTATAAATGTAGTTTATCATGAACCTAATAGAAAATTTTATAAAAGTATGAAATTAAAATATTAAGATATAAGCTAGGCATTATTCTTTAGATGCCACAAAATCGAGTAATATTTTCAGATGATATTAACTCTTTACGTTTAACAGTTAATATTACCACAGTATATATTTATTTTACTAATAAATAAATAACAATTTTGTTATTTACTTTCATTAAAGTATTAGTTCATTTTAATTTTTTTGTGAATATCTATTTGGCAAGTTTTGATAAAATGAAACACGTCGACGTCATCGTCATAACGTCAAACACAGTCATCCATAAAAAAATTAATAGTGTCAAAACAATAAATTGAAGTAAGAAGTGACGTTTACAGATTTTCATGTTGGTTTACTATTTTTGAGAAAAATCCGCCACGCAGCATGAGTGATGCACCAGCTTCTGACGCAGAATCCAATAAACCCAGCCCTAGGGATGAGGTTCACGTAGACATGGTAAAACACGCTACATTTAATGTTTTATATAAGACACGAACACTGCTAACATTATCGCTTGTCAACAGGACCGGCGTCCTTTCGGTGGTCTAGAGTTCCAAGTTTCTGAAGTGGTGGGACGGCTGGAAGCCGTAGTCAATGCCCAGGATGCTACAGAAGAGGAAAAGAAGTGTGAATCGCGAAAAATAAGCACCGGCTTCTTTGAGCCTCAAGAGTCTTCTATGGACGAGATATTGAAGATTTTAGAAGAACTAGTGTTGAAAACCGACCCTAATGGTGATAGTGTGGAGCCACCCTTGCTGCCTACAGATGCAGTGACCCGTGCCGCCATTCTATCTCATAGTATCTCTGCTTTATTTGGTCGTTTGGAAAGAACTCATGCAGCGCGACTTGGAGCGACAATTGCATGTGAAACCACAAGATGGATGGCTCATATGTTTCGGTAAGTATTGCATTTATAGGTAAAAACTATAAAAATTAACATAATTTGATCTGTTATCAGTTACCTTGAGTCATAATTAACTGGATAAGATTAGTATTATTATAGCACACTTAACAATAAAATTCATTTATGTTTTGTGTTAACTGATTACATGTTAATACATAACAGTGTTAGAAATTAACAAAATCTTGTAAACAGGTATTGCTGTAGTAGAAAATTGTTATTACTCATTTTTAACAATTTAAAACTTTGTCATGTTTATTAAAGAGCTTTTCTATGAAGAGCAAATTCTAGTAAAAGCAATCTTTTTATTTTTAATTGTAATAAATATGTATAAAATACTATACTCTCTCAATAAACCTAATAAAAATGTTGTCATCATTATTGTTTTGAGCTAGAGAGCTCAAAATACTTGTGTTGTCAGCCTGCAATTTACTTACCATAGTGGTAATCACTTACCATCAGGTGAACATTTAACTCACCTGATAGTAAGTGCTTATTTACTCCTTGTCTTATAAAAAAAAAAAAATGATGGCTAAAGAATAGGAGTAAGGGATTTTTATTTATTGTGCAGGTTAACAGATTACAATGCATTTTATCACCAAGAACACCTGGAAGGCCTGGTCCGTGTTACGAGAATGTTGCTGCATCACAGATATCCTCGGTACTTAGAAGATGGTGGTATGTCTTATAATATAGTTATAAAAATTTCATTCACCATGCCTGTTGTACAAATATAATATATTAATGACCTTGAATTGCAGTTTATATTAGTACTTTTATAATATGAAACAGCCTATTTTGAATTTATATATTTTTTTTTATCTATTATTAATGGACTAGAGTGATAATATCCAGTGAAAATCTGTTATATTTATAAAGCAATACTGTACTCCTAAAATCATATTTTTGATAGTTCATGGGTGCCATAAATTATTTTATACTGTAATTTTGGCATCATATCATTTGTGCTACATATAGTCCTCATTTTTAGCTGTTAAATAAATGATAAATGTTTTATTTACTCATTTATTACAACAATGCTATTATTACATTTGACATTTAAATAATTTATTTAGTGAAATTGTTTAGCATAGAATAGAAATCATCTTTATTTTTTATCGTGAAAATGGTATGGTAGCCTGCGCTAACGGGATACGCTGGCGGAGCATCAGTGAAGGGTGATAGATGAGAATGAAAACAGGCCAGTTAGCCCATCATGATGAATTCATCAGGAATTAACCATAATAGTTTTTCGCGAGGAGAAATCGACCTGGTTGGGTATATTGCTAGCAATAGGATTCTCAGTTTCCATTACTAACAATCCCTTTCTCCCCTACAGAAGAGTTACACACTCGTGGTTTTCATGATTATAGTTTAACATACATACATTCTCACGCCTGTCTCCCATTTAGGCAGAAACAATGGAACAAATGCTTCGATTCAAACAAACCTCTTTCTTCTTCCCATTCATCATCTTGTCATACACGCTCGTCGGAGTTCACACACTATTTGGTCGACATACGTCCGTCTAGGGCGGCCCCTACCGACATCTCCATTATAGTTTAAATATAAAGATATTCTTATAGTGATAACAAAAATTCCCTGAAGACAATAGAAAGATCTGAGTAATTTTTCCACAATTTTTATTTGTTTTATAATATCATAATAATTTTACATATATTTCTCCATTCATCTAGTTACGCTGAGAAAGAGATACTATTAAAAGTTCTTTATTTTCAGCACTGGCATTCACAAATCGGCTTCCTTGCATCTACAGCTGTGTGGCCAGTCCACTAGGTGTGGTGCAGCATTTATGTAGGCAGCTGAGTCTACCGTTGGCTTGTGTCAGACCTGTCCCAGTAAATGCATCAGGTAATATAGATACTGTTATAAAAATATTTCATACTTTGTATGAAAGTTGTAATTTCCATGCAGACATGGGGACTTCTATCCTCCTAACCCCTGGTAGGTTATGCATGGGATATCAACAAAGATATTTCTTGTAGAAATATATACATATATACATACATACATACATTTTTTTTCTGTATGGCTCACAGTTTATAAAAGCAACTGTGAAAATTATTGTTTTCGATAGTTCATCTTTCTTATTTTTTCCTGTCATTTTAGTATCATTTTGTACTCTTCTCCAGGAGTTATGAAACTAGGGAGGGGGAATGGATTTTTATTAAATAGAAACGGATCTCAATCTTCATCTCTGTTAAGTTGACCTTCACATTTTAAGAAATATCATTGAATTAAGAACGTCTTCCTTTTTTGACGTTGGTTGACAAATGTACTCGAATACTATCTAACAATAATAATAATGCCAGTGAGGCTCTGTTACTGATAATTGAGTAATTTTGTTTGTAAACTTGCTCTCGTAAGTTGTTTGCTTTCGCATTGTCCTCTAAATATTGTGAAATCATAAAGTATTAAGGTAATTAGGAGAATATAAAATATTGATACAAAATAAGCTTGAATATAAAATTAGTTATTGTTATAATTTAAGCTAGTTAATTTATAATAATTTATGTTTATTAGCTCCAATTTAACTGTTATTATTTATATATTCATTATTTTACTGCTATTTACATGAAATTAATCTGAATAATTTAACTGAAATAGGTTAATTTATTGAATTAACAGAGTTACAAGTACTAGACAACTGTTACACACACTTGCACTTTATCTCTTAATATCATTTTAATAAATAAATAAATAAATAAATATATATATATATATATATATATATATATATATATATATATATATATATATATATATATATATATATTATATTAAATATTTTTCTTTTTATTTATTTATTCATTAGTACATGTATGTATACAAAGCGGAATTAATACTAAAAGCATTCTCTCCTAGTACATATATATAAACAAATAAATATATAAAATAACAGATATACTTACACATATATAAGATATACTATATTATACACGAAGATGACAATAATAAATAATACCTACTGCTTGAATAAACTATAAAAGTGAACATAAATTTTTTTATTTATAACGGTATAGACTGAAGTCTCTTGATGCTATGAGAGACAGACTTCCGCGCGTTCCAGAGGCGAGGGTTTCAATGAATCTAAAGCAAAAAAATTATACGAAACCAGTATCGTGAATGGAATAGATAGTTGGAGAGTAGGAAAGGTTACGGTCATCAGTTTCAGAAAGGATTTACCTCCGGTCATCTCAATGATTTGATGAGGTACCCATATAGACGACTTTGTTCTAATAATTAATATATTTTATATTCTTCAAACTCACAAATTACCATTAAAACAACTTACAGGTCGTGGAATGGATGTAGAAGCTCTGGAGAGGTTATGCGAGGAAGACGTAGCGGCGAATCGAATTCCCTTACTGGTGCTCGGTGAGGTCGGCGCGCCCCCTTTAGGTTGGAGTTCGCCGCTGGCAAGCCTGGGTGCTATCTGCAAGACTAGGAACATCCATTTGCACGTGCGAGGCCACGCGTTAGCTCTCCCAGCTGTGTCTGGCAGAGATCAGGTGAGAATATATAATTGTACTTAATTTTCTATGCTACAAAGTTCATTTTTAAACTAGGATATTTTTTTTTACAAATTTGAAAATGGAACTTTTAATTATATTTCTAGCATGTTATTGGTAGATAAATATATCATACTTTTTTAATGGATTTGAATATATGCAAGATTAACTGGAAAAAATCCCTTTAAGGAAGAAATCCACCTGCATACTTTTTCGTTATAACCTAATATCTGTGTTATAAGTGGATGTACAAAAGCATATAAATAAATATGGTGGCAGGGTACCAATGGGTAATTTTGCTCTTAATGATGAATTCACTAGGAATTAACCATTATAGTTTCTAGCGGCGTTTCTAGTTTTATTTTTTTAATTATTTGAGCAATGTTTCTTATTTGTTTCAGACTTTTAGTTTACCAGATTCTCTGACATTAACACCCGGGCCGTGGTTTGGAGTACCGGGCTTACCGACTGTCGTATCCTTTTACAATAAAAATTACAAATAATAATTAAAGGTCGTGACCCACAAAAAAACCGACTTGAATTGGCACAAAACCAGTTATTTTGATCCAAAAACGAAACTACTGATCCGATTTTAATAAAATTTCTATGGGATTAATCTGTAAATATATACTTTCAGTTAAAAAATAATTTTCCAAATCGGTTTAGAACTGACAGAGTTGTGAGGTATGAAACATAAAAAAAGAATACAACCGAATTGATAACCATTTTTTTGAAGTCGGTTGAAAATTGAACATGCTTAAGATCTATTTGTTTTTAGAGTTTAAATCTAGAATTTTAACTGTGAAATTTTTTAGGAATTTGTAAAGATTTGTAGGGTCAGTTTTTGGTAATTCAACTAAAGACACTAAGAAGACGATACTTTTTTTTTTTTTAATCAACTTCAGAAAATAAGGAAGTTCTCAATTTAATTTATATTTTTATATGTTTGTTACCTCATATTTATGAATGAATGAATGAATGAGTATACTTTATTTGCATTATACAATATAGAAAATAAACAAGACAATTTACAAACACAACGATACAATTGTACAAGTACAGTATGTTATTTATCTGGAAAACTATTGTATCTTAGATTAAACAGTAAACCAGTAAAACATTTCTTTAACCATCCATACAGACATTTTATAAAATTCCAGAACCCATCATAGCTAATGATCACTCCAAAGGTGTCAATGCGGTAAGTGTTCTTATTTATTTATATTATTTATTTATTTAACTCTTTATTGCACCATAAATAAAAAATATACAATGACAAGTGAATAATTCAAGTGAAATACAGTAACATAAATACAAATTGAAATATACACATAAAGGTACAAAAGGCGGTCTTATCACTAGGGCAATCTCTTACAGACAACCTTTACCACTTTAAATGAATTATTTATTAAAAATAAATAATACCAGAGGGAGACTTTGTACAAAAGTTGTTTGTTCGGGCAATTCAAATTCAAATTCAAAAATTCAAAAATCATTTATTCATGTAGGACATTTTAGCCGCTTATGAACGTCAAATTGTGTTTGTATGGCTGTTTTTCTGTTTGAAGGATGGGATATGGCAGTGAATTTACAGGGTACAGAGAAATAACACCCGAGTCCTTAGGAATGGCAACATATGTAGAGTATCATGGGCAAATCAGTATACTCTGTTATGTCCATGGTACTGCTCATGTCTATAGGCAACGGTTACCACTTTCCATCAGGTGGGCAGCCAGCTTCTTTGCCATTCTAAGTTGCATAAAAAAATTATAAAGTTTTGTAATTACTTGGCAGCTGTTTAGCTTTCATATTTATATAAATTATTCATTGGGACAAATATAAAGTAAAATAAGATGGATGTCATCTGTGATGATATCTCAAAATTCCTGTCGGTGGTGTCGGATTTAATTGGGTATATATAACTGTGAGATGATAGGTGGGGATGAAATGAGATCTGTCGACTTATTGTGATTAAATCGTCAGGATTTAACCGTAATAATTTTCAGGGTTGAGGAGGGGGAGAGGAATCACGTGGAAGTTGACAGGGTATTTTGTTAATAACTGGGACTAATATTAACTCCATTAAGTAACCGTTACTACTGTATCTAGATCAGTTTGTTAGTTTTGTTGTATCAGATGCATTGTCAGCTTCTTAACAGAAGCTAGCGAAATATAGTACGATATATAGTTACGATATCTGTATTGGTTTAATAACAGATATTGATTAATGCATAAATATTGAAATGAAAAACTCAATTTAAATAAATACAGTTAGATATCCCACTAGTGTGAGCCAAAACGACATGGGTAAAATGATGTGATCGCTTTTTAATGACTTTATCTCACTTTCAATATACAGAGGAAGCCAAAATATAAATTTCTGGGTAGTAGCGACATTCGTGACCCGTAGTTGTTGGTGGTATGTAATGCGAGTGCGCGGTGTGTGTGTGTGTGTGCGTGTGCAGGCGGGCAGCCGCGAGGGTGCGCTGGCGGCGCTGGCCGGGCTGGCGGGCGGCGGCGCGCGCCTGGCCGCGCTGCCGCTGTGGAGCTGCGCGCGCGCGGCCGGCGCCGCCCGCCTCGCGCGCCGCCTCGCCGCCGCGCTGCGGGCCGCCGGCGCCGCGCGTGCCGCCGTCGCCGCCGCGCGCCTGCGCCTGCTGGTGAGTACTGCCCGCCTGCTCGCCGTCTGCAATCGACGCCGACCGCCCTCGATACCACCTGTTGGTACGTACTGACCACTCCTGTGGACTTGCCCACACCGCCAACAGTCGGAACATCATAACGGGGGGGGGGGGGATTGTTAGTAATGGGGAGGTTAGTCCCCATTGCTATCAATATATACCCTGTCTGGTCGAGCTCCACACGGTTCCCCCTGGAAACTATCGTGACCAATTTATCGTTGAATTTGTCATAATGGGCTAACTGACCTGCCTTTCATCCTCACCTATCACCGCTCACTGGTACCCGGCTAGTGTATACCGATAGCGCGGGCGGGGTTACCATGCCATTTTCATTCATAAAAGAAAAAACATCACGACGGACAACGTCGCTATTTTAACTTTATACAGTGGTGAATTTACATATTTGTCGCCAGCAAGTTGTTCAAATTTACCCGCCCTTACTTGAATATCTAAATTTGCTATCTCTAATATTGGTTACCCTTGGCTCCAGCTTTCACAGCCCACTGATAAATCAGTCACTGCTCTTTACAGAAGTTATTACAGAACAATTACCCCGTAATCAATGATACTATTAAATATATTACAACACTTTAATGGAAGTTCTTTTTTATTACAACTCTAAAAGGTAAGTGTGATAATGTCAAAACATATTTTATTTTAATGATTTTTAAAAGGGAACGTAAAATATTATTATATTTTCTTTATGGCTTCTGGATGTTATGTAAAAGAACAAATAAATCCCTTTTTATACAGAGCAAAATTTTTTTTTTTTTTTATACAACTTAGAATGGCAAACAAGCTGACAGCCCACCTGATGGAAAGTGGTAACCATTGCCTATAGACATGAGCAGTACCATGGACACAACAGAGTACACTGTTTCGCCCATGATAGCCCTCTGCACCCTGTAAATTCAATGAATAAAATAACTGAATTTGTTTGCAGAGCGACCCGCCCGGTGGCGACGAACCAGCTAACGTTGATATAGTCGTAAGTATGCTATGAATTAACAACTATATAGCAAAATCATATTATAATTAAATTTATTACGTATGTATTTGAGTATTCAAATACATCAGGTAAACACGAAGCAAGTAACAGAGTCAATTTGAATAATTCGTAAATTTAAGCTAAAAATCAATCTTACTTTGCCATAACATTAAGGCGATTTTCAGTCGCCGATCATCCGCGACAGAACGCCAATATATGTATTGGCATACTAGGTACAATTTGCTACTCCCAGTCACACTACGTGGACGATCGGTTATTACGTTTAGAATTCTAATGCCCGACTGACTGACCTCTATTCGGTCGTACGCGTGCCTATTTTCCGTCAGCGGAAGATCGGCAACACCATATTTTTTTTATGCAAAACGCCACACTGCAATCAGTGTTGACTGCTTGCTATTCATGTGACCTTAGTACGGCGATATTCGACTATTACATTTGAATTCACAGACCGCAGTCAGTTTGTTCGACTTAGCTATCCTATTAACAAAGTACTTACTGATACAATTTAGATAAACGTTAATTAATCACTTAATGCGAGGGGTTTTTCTGTGAAATGATATCAACTGGCGCACTGGCGCACGCACTAAATTCGAACGAGCATACAATAAATATACACTAAGCTCTATAAGAAATACAAACGGGCGAAAAGGTATCACTCCAGATAAAAATATAAACATAATATTTATAAGTGGCGAGAGGTACTCGAGATAGCGCAAATCGGAATACATTTGATGCGCGACAGGGTCTCGTTCGAAATGCTTAAGTGTGTAATGGTTAAAGGATCTATTTAATTTTTTTTTTTTTTGCAGGAAGCAATAAGTAAAGCATCTGCGTGTGTGGCGTTCCAGTTCGCGCCGCCCGGCATCGAGAAACCGCCGCCGTACTATGACAAGCTCAACTCGTGGTTGGGACAAGTACTGCAACGGGAAGCGGATATGGTAATTAGTATATTCGTTTATTGATCCACCGAATAGCGATTAGTGGTAGCGATTAAATAAATTTCCTCACACCACACACTAGAATAAGCATATAGATTGTTTATGTTAATAGATCACGCTCTTTCAACTTTTTATTTCTATGTATATTCTATGTTTTTTGTACTTTGTACAAAAGTCGGTTACTTGGCTACCTCTGTCCCATTCGTGTTTCTACCGTGAAGCAGTTGTGTTTGTGACTCACGTATGTGTGCCTCGGCTACGCCTCGGCCCACATTTGCACGTTCGTCCATCAATGCCTCAGTTGCTGGCCGCTGCAGTAATGTACTATTCTTTGTGCACACATAGTTGGATTATAATCTTATTATACTTATTAATAAGTATTAGTATATTATATTTCGTCCGCGTAGATAAGTATAGAAGTGTGCGAGACGGAGTCGTACGGCGTGGTGCTGCGCTACTGCCCGCTGGAGGGCGTGTGCGGCGAGGAGGTGGCGGGGGTGGCGGGGGTGGCGGGGGAGGCGGAGGAGGCGGCGGGCGGCGAGGAGGAGCGCGTGCGCGCGTGGGCGGCCGAGCTGGCCGCGCAGCTGCTCGTGCTGCGCGCCACCGTGGCGCTGCGAGACGCCTTCGCAGACCGCGTGCGCCAGAGGCCGCCGCTGCGGCTCGTGCACGTGCCCGGCTGGGCAGGTCGCTAACCCAGTATTTTTTTTAATTCCTTTGTTGGCAACGATGTGCCTGCTTGACGGCACACAAAGTTTTTTTTTTTTTATATCTACTACTTAGAATGGCAAGCTGATATCTCACCTGATAGAAAGTGGTAACCGTTGCCTATAGACATGAGCAGTATCACAGAGTATACTGTTTCGCTTATGATACCCCCCCAGCGTTACCATTCCTGAGGACTCAAGTGTTATTCCTCTGTACCCCGTAAATTCACGCCATATCCCACCCTTCAAACCGAAACACATTATATCTTTTTGCTTTTTTTTTATTAGTGAAGATAGACTTTTTGATGGGTGAAAATGAAATGGTAACCCCGCCTACGCTAACGGGATATACTGGCGGAGCACCAGTGAAGGGTGATAGATGAGAATGAAAATAGGCCAGTTAGCCCATCATGATGAATTCATCAGGAATTAACCATGATAGTTTCTAGGGAGAACCACGAAGAGGTTAACCTGGTTGGGTGGGTATATTGCTAACAATGAGGTTTTTAATCTCCATTACTAATAATCCCTTTCCCCCCAATGTGAAGATAGACTAGTCTCCCCGCATTTTATATGTACATAATAAATATGTATGTAGAAAATAAAGAGATAGAAAAATAATGTGAATGAATTCAGGACTATTGGTCTATCTTGATTTGACACCAGTGAGAGATGATAGGTGAGGATAAAAAGGCAGGTCAGTTAGCCCATCCTGACGAATTCAACTAGAATTAACCACGATAATTGTCAGGGGAACCGCATGGAAGTCGACCTGACAGAATATATTACTAGTAATGGGACTATTTGATCCCATTATTAACAATCCCTTTCCCCCCTGACAAACATGTGTGAACAGGTCTGGGTGGCGTGCGATACGTGCCGGCTGGCTGGGAGGACGCGTCCGCGGATGAGATCAACTCCCTCAACCGGCAGCTAGTTGACACACTGCGGGCAACAGATGGCGCCTTCTCCTGCGGCGACGGCGAGGATGGGCTCGCTTGTGTGCGGTCAGTGTCCATCTATTGGGGTTCTCTTCCCGAAAAAGAAAGATATTTAGCCTATTGACGAAATGTCGATATATTTTCTTTTTTTATTCTCTCTTGTTGTATATGTGCTATTATTTTTTATACAACTTAGAATGGCAAACAAGCTGACGGCCCACCTGATGGAAAGTGGTAACCGTCGCCTATAGACATGAGCAGTACCATGGACATAACAGAGTATACTGTTTCGCCCATGATACCCCCCATGCGTTGCCATTCCTGAGGACTCAGGTGTTATTCCTCCGTACCCAGTAAATTCACGCCATATCCCACCCTACAAACCGAAACACAGCCATGCAAACACAACTACTTTACACGAATACACAAATGGGACAGAGGTACTCAAGCAATCGACTTTTATACAAAGTCTCCCTGGTATTAAGTATCATTTTCATTCATTCAATAGCTGACTATTAATTATCCACTGCTGAGCATAAGCTTTCTCCATGAGGGGAGTTTTGCCAACCCCAGTAAGGCTTTAGTGACGTTTTAAGAGGGATGCTGCTGCCCACCCTTCCACCATTAAGTTCTGTTAGCTAACTGCGCTTGTCAAACCGCCTACTAAGCTACTACTACTAAAATATATACTATAGGGGAAAGGGATTGTTAGTAATGGAGAATCCCATTGCTAGCAATATACCAAACCAGGTCGAACTCCTCGCGGTTCCCCCTGGAAACTATCATTGTTCATTCCTGATGAATTCATCATGATGGGCTAACTGGCCTGTTTTCTTTCTTATCTATCACCCTTCACTGGTGCTCCGCCAGCATATCTCGTTAGGCCAGGCGAAGTTACCATTCCATTTTCACCCATAAAAAAAAAATCAATATATACTATAATGTCTACTGAAAATATCCCCCCATAGTGGAGGTCTATGTTCAGCGGTGGACAGATAACGCCTGTTATAATAATAGTTTTTCTTCTTTAATAGTTTCAATTGTATTATTATATAGATTCGGCATGGTAACAGCGGACACAGATGTGGATGAACTCCTAGAGCTGGTAGAGAACGCGGGCAAGGAGGTGGAAGAAAGCTCCCGGGCGCTTACAAACATGACTGAAGTTTTGAAAAAAGGTAAACAAATTGTTATCATATTTGTTACTTATTGGATTTTATCATCATGGCTGTGTTTCGATTTGAAGGGTAGGTAATGAAATTACAGGATACAGAGGCATAACACTTTAGTCCTCAGGAATGTCAACGCAATAAAGTTATCACGAGCTACAGAATATACTCTGGTATGTCTATGGTAGTGTCCATGTCTACAGGCGATAGTTACGTTTGATCAGGTAGACCATTAGCTTATTGGCGATGACCAAAAGTTATGAATGCTCCTGATTTATTTTTTAATGGATGGCAATGGAATAGCTACTCCGTCTGTGTCAACAGTATACGCAGGCGAGGCACCAGTGAGGCATGATAAATGAAGATGAAAAGGCATGTCAATTAGCCCATCGCGATGAATACATCTTGAATTCAGTACAATGGTTCCCAGAGAGGACTTGTGGGACTCGACTTGGCTGGTTATTATTTGCAATTGGGCCCTGAGTGTCCATTATTAGCAATCCCTCCCCCAATTCTTAATTATTGGTGGTATGTGGGAGGCAGGCATAGAGGAGGCGCAGGCGGACATCGAGCGCGAGAACGCGGAGCGGCTGTGGCAGGAGGGCGTGCTGCGGCGCGTGCCGGTGGTGGGCCGCGTGGTGCAGTGGTGGGCGCCCGCCGCCCGACCCCCGCGCGGCCGCCGCCTGCACCTCGCGCTCGGCACGCTGCAGACCACCGACGACGTCTACCAGTGCGTATCCTTACTACCGACCCTTCTCGGCGAGCGCATAACCATTTCAGTTTGCTTATCCTTCGGGCTATGTCAATTACTTTTTTTTCTGTGGATAACTTTATTTCGGATTCTGTCACGCAGAGAATCTCCTAGCATAGCCCTCTTCATAACTAACTGAGTAATTTCAAACTTCTGCGTATATCCAACCGCGTAAATCTATACTAATATTGAAAAGTATAGAAAGGTTAGTTTGTTTATAATAAACAAAGTCAAAAACTTTTGATCCGATTTTAAAAATTCTTTCATCTGTAAAAACTACTAACGAGTAACATAGGCTATATACTATTTTCGAAAATTCTATTTATCCGAGTGACGCCGGGCTGGATAGCTAGTCAGTATATAAAATATCCTGTATTAAATTAGGATATAAGCTACCTCTTTGTGGGTAAGCGATGGCGTATTTGGAGAGAGATCGGATAGTATCTCTGATAGTAATCACCTTTTTTTGGGTGGGGCCGGGTCTCCTAGAAAAAAATTTAAAATATACTAAATTAATACCCCCAGTAAGCAGGAACAAACGAGTGTCAAAACCCTCAGTCCTTACGAAGATGTATATTTATTGAAACGATAAAGCTATTGTAAATGATCATCCGCAGATTCGTTCAAAAGAAAAACACAGAAGAGTCGGAGGAACCTGCGCGTGCGCATTCCCCGTCGCGGCAACCGCAACCGACCGAACAACAGTGATAGTGAGTAGACATGGATTAGGACAAACGATCGAATCATACATTGTATTGGCCAAAATGTAGTGGCTTCGATTCGTTTAGTTTTCTAAAGTTGGTTCAAATGTTTGATCAAACATTTATTGATTTGTAACAAGGTAATTATAATTCGTCAATTGAGTTTCATTGGCATTTTAAGACAATATAAGTGAAATAATTTTAAGTAAATAATGTATAAAAAAAGTATATATTTTAAGTAATAAAATTTAATAATAGGGAGAAATTAAATTAAACAAGAAAAAAATATACTCCCATGAAAATTGTATTAGGCAAGTACCTTAAATATGCCAAATAATTTTCTTGTTTCTGACGTAGCACTAAAGAGGCACAAGGCAAAGAAAGTATAATATTTATTTTTGATCAAACATTGGTCCTAAACATCAATGCTAGTGTAGTAATGTAATTACTAAGTAAACAAAACTATGCTCACAATTTTATTCCCAAAACACTAGTCAGAATTAACTTACTAACTCCTTTATTTATATAAATTCCACTTTATACTTAATAATCAATGGCTAATATTTAAAATCGCTGATTGATACTCTTTATTGTTTTCTCCAAAAGGTAAAAAAAAATTACATGAAAAACAATGAATGACTTTATCACTAAACTCTATCTCTTTCAGTCAAGCTTTGAATGGAGAGGAGTAATTATAAAATTTGGTTGGTGCCACGATAAAATTCTGTCCTAAGACATATGGAGATATAATACAATATTATAAATATATGATTACTATTTATTGCTACTATGTAAGGGAGTTAGTATTACTTAAGGTCTGTTTATATAGTGCAAGTTGCTAATTTGACAGTTACTGTCTGCACCCAGTACTCGCATGACAGTAGCTTGATTCGCTTCACCCTCCACATCAAGTGGTTTGCTGTAGCAAAAAAATCTCCTCATTCTTTAAATTTATCTTGATTTTTTTTATTTAAAAAAGAGAATTGGCTAGTGCACAGCAATAAACATGTACAGAGTTCATCCCTCTGTTGAGCGATTTAGGAACTAAAATTACTATTATGAGTTAGTTCTATCTATTGCCACTTGATCGCTAGTAGCGCTATATGTCAGAAGAATTTACATCTAAACCTATTCAGTGATGAGGAAACAATTATGTTATTTGATACCATTACATTTTGCTTTGCTGCTGTAGAGTTGTTGAGTATAGAAACTAGAAACAAAAATGTAATAATATAATAAATATATAAAAAATATTTTACTTACTTATTTGCGAATAGATAGATAGATAGATACTCTTCATTGTTTCCTTCATAAGATAACAATAGTAAACTTATTATAAATACAAACAATCACAAGAAAAAAAATTACACCGAGAAAACAATAGGCCTTATTGCTAAGAGCGATCTCTTCCAGGCAACCTTTAGTCTATAAACGAAGTATTTGCACTACATTAACTGACTGAGCCAGCCCGAATGCTAGCTTGCATTATATAACCAGACTGTTCTACTGACAGCTTTCACCCATACATTATACTTTTGTAATAGTAATATTATTATTTTAATTAATATATATTTATTCTAATTTCGTACACTTTATTGTACAAGTGTGTGTATAATTTTTAAATGCAGTTATAAACGATCTGTAAATAATTACAAACTATTTATTACGTAATAAGTTTGATAAGAAAAATAAGAAGTTACTTGGCAATTTTTTTTTTTGCTCCTATCGATAGACAGCCATTTTTAAGGAAAATATGTTGCCAGTGTATTAAATATTGACATTAGACTTCGTATTTTTACATAGTTACAATTTATTTACATATATGACGCCAAGTAAATGTTACAATAAAGTCATATATGTGTTTTAAGTATTACATCAAATTAAAATAATATTTTGTTACTACAAAATAGATTGAATATTTTCAATCACTGTTTGCACCATTTTATAAAGAATCATCGTGACCCAAAACTTATAAATACGTACTTATTTTTCGGATTAAACTAATAAAGCAGCATCCACACTTGTGTATTCTGTAATGTAATGTATCGTGTAATGTAACAAAAATAGTGTGGTGACGGCAAAAGTCTTTGTGTTCTCTTAATAATCGATACTCGACGCAACAGCGTGAGCTATAGGGTGTGTATTCACCAGGAGCATTTGTATTTAATATTACAGCTCAGAATGGAGCATTACATCAGTAATGTGATATGTAATATTACGAAAATATGGCTCTTTAATGAGTAATTTTTTTCTTACGATAATGAAAATGTTTCTAATCAATACTATCACTTGTTATATAGTGCTCATAGAGCTAACCATAGAGCTATAATCACATTACGTTACATTACATGATCCTTGTTACATTTTGATGCGGCTTAACTTATATTTGTAGCTTTTGTATTACAATTAGAGCGTAGTTAATGAAATGTATTCTAAATACGTTAAAACGGTCCAGTAGCGTTCGTATAGTTTATTAGAATAGAATTTAAAATAAATATTTGCAATATGGCAATAAACCTAAGAATTGTGTTTAGGTTAACTAATTATTAAACATTATTTTAATTTTAAATGTCTTTATTGTAAACATTTAATATTATTCCGAGTAAATTATAACCATACTATTGGTCAATCAGGTTACCAAGTAATACACTAATTTAAAAAGTTTTTTTTTTTTTTTAAATAAGTAGTTTTAATGCATCAGTTTAGCAAACATACTTTTATTAATAAGATTATTTTGTAAAAGAGACCGGCTTTGATACTAGTTTGCGTTTTTAAAAAGCTATAGTAATATATAAAAAAAAAATAAGTAATGTAAATTAATTTCACCATAAAGCTATATTCTTATTTCACATTTAAAATATTTGTATGTAATTAACGTGAATATTCGCTGATGTATTAGACACTTGCACATGATTATTCCGTCAGTTGTTCTCGAAGTTGAAACTCCAATCGTATCTTTGGTCAGCATCGCAAAGTGCTTCGTAATTCGAAATCTTATTTGTAATATTACATAACGATGTGTTTTCAGTCAATACCCACCTTTATAGTTATTCTAGGAGATATAAATGGTAATATTCGACTTGTTTAAAAGTAAAACACATTGGTTTTTAGGAACTTTTTTAAAGACCATAGACAATTTACTCTCATACTACAAATGAAGGTTTGATAGTCACGAGCTTAGATAAAGAACTATAAATATATTGAATGAGTATTTTATTATTAAGCCTATTAACGGTCATGTCGAATTTTGCGTTCCTACAGTGGTAGCAAAATGATTGTGAGAACCCTGTTTTGATTTAGCATATTGTAACTTCTTTTTTCAAACGACTTCAAAAAGATCTCTATTTGATTGTTTATTACCTCGGAACTTCGTCAGTTATAAACTAATTTGGAATTATTTTTTTTTTATTAGAAAGGAAATACTTTCAGATTGGTCCCAAATTGTCCCAGATTGGTTTCATTTTTAAATCAAAACACTACACTACATTTTAAGTCAGTGTTTTTTGAAACACAATTTGAAATAATTATATCTTCTATAGTTGAATATATACTATATTTCACTTGAATTTTTCAACTGTCATTGTAAATTTATATCTTTATGGTGCAATAAAGAGTTAAATAAATAAATAAATATAGGGAGGTCTAATTAATTTTTCCATACACTACCTATATAACCACTTATGCACATTAGTTATTTTATTCTCAAAATAATTCATCATCATCTTCCTACCCTTATCCCAATCATTTGCGGTCGGCGTAATATGATTTTGTCCATATTACAAAAAGATTTGGTTTTTAGTTTTACGACCGGCCACCTGCCTGACGTCAACCCTCTTCAAAATAATTGTGGTATATTTTTAATAATAACATATAATTAAATATATTAACTGTTTTTTTAATATATCTCCGAAACCATATCTGGGTTCCATTGCTAGAATGGAGTAAAACATGTTTGAGTCTATTACTTTTATGAGTATTTTTTTTTTATTTTAATCAATCTATGGTTTACAAAAACGCACACACACGAGCCACAACTAATATGTGAATAGTATAGAATGAAATAAAATAGTAGCATTAAAGTTATTCGTATTGTAGTTCTCTTCATCCAGAACGTCATATTCATTCCAATTCAGTATTCATTACTAAGTTAATTTTATATTTTAATTATTATTATATAATTTCATTTAAATTATTAATTATATAGTTGAATTCCATCGATTTTTATTTCATTAATTTATACTTTTTAAATAAATAGCCTTAATAATAAGTCCAATGATTCTATTATTTATTTCATTCAATTTGTGTTCTCATTTCTCAACGAGTAATGTTACCTTAAGTTTAATAATTTAACTTTTTAAAAATAATATTATGCCAAATTAATATGTTCTTTTTTTTACGTAATAATAATTAATAAGTATCTATTTTAACAATACTTAATCACGTTGTAATTATGTCTTATTGTATTATTACATTCATGGAATGATTAAGTAGGTATTTTAATTTAAAATAATTATAAAATGATGCTTTCACTATTATTTTAATGTAAACATTATATAGCGTAATGTATATTTAATACCAATATTGAATTAGCAATACACGAGTGTAGAGATGTAAATAAAAATTATATTGATCTTAGTAAGCAGCATTTTAATATCATAGTGTTTTGTTTTTTTTTTTCTTTTACACAGAGCCTATTGTGCAGAAAGATGCAATGTGATATGGATATTTCGGATAATATGGCCTATTTCTGCATAACTAGCTCTTAGTTTATTTTTTCTGAATACGCAGTGGTAGATTAACAGTACTTTTTTGTACGCAATGAAATGTATTCTGTGTATTGTATGCTGCCAGTGACAATTGAGATTTTAGTAGTAATGAATGTAAAAGAACTGTATTGGAATTTTGAAAATGGAAGTCTATTTAATTGTCATAATTGCTACTTCTTCAAGATCAGACGTTTTGTAGAATTTGTATGTTTAATAATTTTTTTTCTGTTTTTTTTTTCATGACTTATCAGTTACGCCATGGAATAGGATTCAACGTATAATTTCGACCAATTAACTTGCTTATTAAATAAAAAATTGCAACATCTTCAATATAAAAAAAAAAGATAAATATAAGTTATGGTCGAAAAAGGGATAAGATGAACATTTTTTTGTATTTTCCCGCCGCTGACTAAATGTTCAATACAGCATACTCATTCATTCATCCAATAAGAATTGTATAATAAATAAATAGTAAAGAATTAGCAGCAAATACAAAACAAACGATTGATAGTAATACAGCACATTATACTGGCCACAGTTGTGAACCGCGCTCATAAATAAGAGCTCCTATTGAATTCGAAACTAGTCTGGCATTCCCGAGTTTAAAATGTCAGTGAAGCAGATATAAATAATTATCTTATGTTAATTTATTCACTGCAATGACTTAGTTATTAATTTACATGGTTTTTTTCAAATATAAATATGCAATTTGTAAGATCGTATTTATTTGTTATTAATTCGCGTATATAGTGATAACAATATGATTATTATTTGGTACAAATATTTAGTTTTAATGTCTAATGACATTTTGCAAAGTATTTTGTTTATTTTGGAATTTGAAACGGAGTTGGTGAAAGTTTTGTGAGGTGCTCTTACGGGGATGCAAAATTGCGCTCCCATATTCAGGTGCTCTCGGTGGGTTTTAAATGGGATTTAGTGCTCTGGAGCTAGTTCTAATTTTAGTATTGCCGTCTCTAAAATTAGAGAAATTTAAAGATAGGTTTGTGGAATGAAAATTCAGATTTTATCCTCTCGTTCATAGATGGCGTGACCATCAATGGTCTAAGAAACAAAAGTGTCTTAATCAGTTTTCAAACTTTTTCCCCCTTTTATTATCGTATATTTTATAGTATGTAAAAAAGAAAAAAAAGGTTTCTTACAAACGGACGATAGAATAAAAAATTACAACCATGTACATTGACATTATGACAGCAAAATTTTTTTTATTTTTACTGAACTGCACGCGCAATTATTAGTGGTTTATTATGATCACAATAAAATCACCTTAAGGAATGTCTCGCGTCGGGCTTAAAGCCCGGACAAACGGGCAGCAGACAGATCTAAATGTAAGGGATATTTTGTCTGTGTAGGCCATAACTTTATCCGGGATGACTATTAAGCATTGGTGTATTTAAAGGGGAAAGGGGAAGGGCTGGCGTACCCATTCCAGAATTGCCTGGTACCCTCACTAGAATCAGAAGCGAAATTTTTAACTTTAATCAAGGACATGTCTAGGTGTAATACAATATTTGCTTTCTTTAATGCCGACCCCGATTATAATGTAAAATACGCTGATACCGCTGAGCCTGTGTTTCTTGCTGTGCTCCTAGCCTGAGGCTACGGTAACCGCTTACCATCAGGTGGGCCGTATGCTTGTTTGCCACCTCAGTGGTATAAAAAAAACCATAAATTATCACCCGTTTGTAAGTTACCGAAATACCTACTCAACACCAGAGCACATAAGTGTACATACAAGTTCCAATAAAACAAATTAATTTGTAAGCTGTGAAATTATTTCATCAATTTAGATACAGCACTGCAATTGTAATTTAAGTTATCGATTGATAAAAAGAAATAAAAATATATGATGTTAACATATTTGTTTCTTTTACTTATATTTAAATATTGAATAATTTTTCCACACTTTCCTTTCCTGTGGGTGTCGTAAGAGGCGACTAAGGGAAATTAATTAAACAAGGATGAACAGCAGCGTCCCTCTTAATACATTACCAAAGCCTAACTGCTGCTGCCAACCCGTCTGCCAAGCTTGGCAACTACTGGTAAAGCCTTATGTGAGATGCCTGTTTTCAGCAGTGGACAGTTAACACCTAAAATGATGGTGATATAAATATAGAAATAACCATACCACTTTGATATCTATATATTGAGTTCCTTTATTATATTCGTTCCTTGTATAACCAGTATTTAACCCTTCTTTGCATGATTTTTTTTATTGGTGAAATAAATCAAGGTGATATAATTCATGTTTAAAATTAAAATAGTTAAAAAATAAATTTGACAGCTATGGTTTTTTTTCTGCAATGGACATTAAAAAAGGTATCCAGACACGATCAACTTAAAGTAAAATTCTTCCTTTATATATTTTTTGGACATTCAATGTTATGATGGGAATTTCCACCAGTATGCAAAGAAGAGTTAATATTTGCATTTCAGTTATCGGACCAATATAAAATATGCTTATAAGTGTGAGTTTATTGCGTAATGTGTGAGAATGAAATGGTAGCGTGGGCAGCTATCAGTATACTAGTACGCTGGTAAGACACCAGTAAAAGATAGGTAAGGATGACAGCAGGTCAGATACTCTATCGTGACGAATGTCACAAGAATTAACTACGGTAGTTTCCAGGGGGGATTGTTCGAACTGGGTGGGTTAATGGATGATGATTAATGGTAACCCCGCCCGCGCTAACGGTCTAAGCTGGCGGGGCACCAGTGAGTGATGATAAATGTGAATGAAAAGGAAGGTCCCGGCCAGCGTATACCGATAGCGCAGGCGGGGTAACTATTTCATTATCACCCATTAAAAAAAACAATTACTAATATGAAACACGTATTAGGAGTCCACATTTATGTTATCGTAAAAGCTATAGTAGTAAAGTATAGACTTAGCTTTTTTATTTTACCGTAAAATAAAAAATAAAACTGTCAACCTAATGTCAATCAATTGTCAAAGGAAAGTGACAATTTTATGTATAATTTTTGTTTGTTTTGAATTTTGATTTTAGTGTATTTTGTTAAGATTTTTATATTTTATAAATAAACTGACAATTATTGTAGCGTCTATGATTTAAAATAATTCTTTCCGCGACAAAATTACCTACCTACATGTATTTTAACTTGTTTTACGGTAGGCCATAAAACAGACTTTAAAACTTAAGATGACTACATTAATTTTAGCACATAAATTACTGTCCGTAAAATTGGACAAAGCAGAATTCGAGAAAAATAAATGGTTGAGATACGATAACACGGAAAAGAAGGACAAAATGATTAAGTATGTGATCTGTCTTATAAAAATATTGTAATTCTATTCAACACTGTTTTTTACTACATTTTTTACTATTACAGGCCATTAAAAGGCATTATAGATCAACAAATTCCAGATAAAACGTGCAGGTTGTGCCTGAAACCTGGATTGCTTCCGATTTTTGAAAGTAACCCAGACACCAATATTGCTAATAACATTAAATGCATATTGGGAATAGAGGTGAGATTACAGATACTTAATATTTTGTATAAACTATACTTTCGCCGTGTGGTCCTAGCAAAGAATGAGCCACTGCTTCCTTTCCCATGCATTTAGTAAGAGACGACTAAGGGAACAAGAATCGAGAGATGGACACTAGCATTACTGTTAAAACATCACCAAAGCCTAACTGCAGTTATCAACTCGTCTGCCGAACGTGCCAACCATTGGCAAAGTCCCTTAATTTATAAGGGAGGCCTATGTTCAGCAGTTGTTAAATTATTGATAGGATGATGGTGATCCTTTCATTAATTTCTCCTACTAGCTATAGATTGTTTAGCAATAAGACTGCCTCTCATATTACATTATGCCTACTAAATGTCCATCAATTATTCATGTAATATTTTGATGGGTGAAAATGGTATAGTAACCCCGCTTGCCCTAACGGGATACGCTGGCGGAGCACCAGTGTAGGGTGATAGATGAGAATGAAAACAGGCTAGTTAGCCCATCATGATGAATCCATCAGGAATTAACCATGATATTTTCCAGGTAGAACCGCGAGGAGGTCAACCTGGTTGGGTATATTGCTAGCAATGGGATTCTCAGTCTCCATTACTAACAATCCCTTTCCCTCCATTCATGTAATATTAGTGTAATAAAGTGTTCAATAAAATAAATATATTTTTCCCTCCTTATATCAACTTATAGATATCTGACAAAGATGGTAAGCCGCAGCACATTTGCAAATCCTGTGCAACAGTTGTTAACAGTGCTGTAGAATTAAAACAGATAGCAGAAATCACTCAATGGAGATTAGAACAGGAATTGGAAATGGGTATGATATTCTTAGATTTCTTCATAGTTACCTATATTATATCATCAATATTTTATAGGCTACACCTCCTTTGGGTGTCATAAGAAGTGACTATAGCAACTTAAGGGTTGTGGGATGGACAGCAGTGTTTTTTCAAGACATCACCAAAACAACTGTAGTTTCTGACGTGCCTGCCAAGCATGGTAACTGTTAGCAAAGCCCCCCAATTTATGGGAGTTACTTATATTCATTAGAAGATAGATAATGGTTAATATGATATGAAATTGTCATAGATATATACCAATAAAAAAATCAGTACATATAAACAGGCATTTATAGACAAATAATAATATCTTTAATCAACAACTCAATAAAAACAAAAAAGAATTTACAAGAAGTTACATATATATTTTTTGATACAACTTAAAATGGCAATCAAGCTGACGGCCCACCTGTTGGAAAATGGTAACATGGACATAACAGAGTATACTGTTTCGCCCATGATACCCCCCATGCATTATCATTCCTGAGGACTCAGATGTTATTCCTCTGTACCCTGTAAATTCACGCCATATCCCACCCTTCAAACCGAAACATGCAAACACAACTGCTTCACGGTAGAAACACGAATGGGACAGAGATACCCAAACAATCGACTTTTGTACAAAGTCTCCCTCTGGTGTATATATTCACCATTGTATCACGAAGGTAGCAAAATAACTTGTCACATTTGTTTCTAGTGTCCGAAACTACAAGCGAGCAGGAGAGACAAACGGTCCAGAAACACCATGGTGGTTATTTTATAGAAAGTGGCACACACATCTCGAGAGAATGGATTTGTAGCAGATGTAAGCGGATATTTCAGAATCATGTATGAAAATTGAATTATTGAGGAAAATAATTATACATACTTACTCAAATCCAAATAAAATGTCATGTTCATGTAAACCATTCTTGGTGTTACTTAAAATCTTTTAAGTCATTTAAACAATGTATGTTTAGACCATAGATGACAGACCATGATGACCATACTTGGACTTTTTCAGGAAGAATTTATGGAGCATGAACAATTGGAAACATGTCGAAAAGTAAAATGCTATGTTTGTGAAACATGTGGTGTAGAAGTCAAGACGGTCACATGTTTGAAGAGGCATAGGTCTGTAGCGTGTTATCCTTTAGTATAAAAATTAACTATTTATATATTTTACTAAAACTGAGTTAAATGTACCAGTTGGCTCATCTCATTATAATGAAGGTACACATAAAATCCCTTATCTACTAACGTGCTCTGTTTTCGAAGATAGCTAGTGTATAAACCAATTGATTGTGAGTCCTTAAATAAGCTTCTACAAAAAAAGTCTACTAAATATGTAGAATTTTCGTTGATGATACTTTTCAATCGACTTCAAAATGAAGAAGTTCTCAATTCTGTTGTATGTTTTTTATTTTTGTTACCTCATAATTCTGTCAGTCACAAACAGTTTTTATCTGAAATTTGCAATTTTTTTTATCTGGAAGGATATACTTACAAATTTGTGACAATTTTGTTTGTGGACACATTCATTATTTATACTGACAAGAAAATAGACCTAATAGGTGGCGGTGGGGGAATGGATTATTAGCAATGCGGACTACTAGTCACATTGCTAGCAATATATCCTGTCAAGTTGACCTTTACGTTGTCCCTCCTGGAAGCCATCGTGCTGAATCCCAGGTGTATTAATCACAATGGGCTAATTGACCTGTCTTTCCATTCTCGCCTGTCATCCCTTACTGGTGCCCTGCTAGTGTATACCATTTTTTTTTATGTGTGAAAATGGAATGGTAACCCCGCCTGCGCTAGCGGAATATGCTGGCGGGGCACCAGTGAAGGGTGATCGATGAGAATGAAAACAGGCCAGTTAGCCCATCATGATGAATCCATCAGGAATTAACCATGATAATTTCCAGGGGGAACCGCGTGAAGGTCGACCTGGTTGGGTACATTTCTAGCAATGACATTCTCAGTCTCCATTACTGACAATTCCTTTCCCCCCAGTGTATACCATTAGCATAGGCAGCGTTGCCATTTCATTATCACCCATTAAAAATAAAATAAGTGGCGGTAAGGAGCAAAACAATGTTTGCTGGGTCAGCTAGTTTTATAATATTTTATTTCCAGATTAATCCACACCGGCGAGCTCCACTACCCCTGTACTAGTTGTCCATACCGTGCCCGCACTAAGTACGCTCTAATCGTACATCAGCGGTCGCATACAGGTGACCGTCCAGTGCGGTGCCCACACTGCCCTGCCACCTTCCCCAACTCGTCCAATTTGGCGTCACACAGGCGCAGCCACTTTCCACCGGCCTACCACTGCCACTTGTGCCAGAAGGGGTTCAAGTTTAAGGAGGTTAGTGATGGATCGTTTCTTAACAGTAATTGTTCCCAAAAATAACATTGCTACCTATAACCTAGTATAGATAACTTCAAATGTAATTTAATAACGACTTAGGAATTAAACAGTAGAACTAGAACTATGCTTAGCTTTTTGCTAATTCAGTAAGAAAATCAATGAAATAAACAATTTTTAGATAAAATATATCTATTTGGTTTCAAGTTCGAATTTCAGGAATACAACTGTAAAAACTGTATCCAATTTGGTGCAGTAATTTTTACTTGATACCAGTAGAAATATACGAAAAATTCTAAATATTATTTAGGGTTCTACTGATGTTATATCCTTATTGATATTTTAATTCGTATTTTTTTTTATTTTTTGGAGATAAGAGAGGGGAATGATGACTTATTACATTTTCGATCATACGTTAGAAATTATGCAGTAAAAAATAAAATAACAAATGAAGCCACTTCACTATTCTCCACTTGGACTATTCCATTCCATTTTGAATTTTTTTTAACTTCGAAATAAATAAAATCACATTATATTTATAACTATTTCCATTGCAATGTGAGAGCCGACAATATATTGTTTAAATCTACTTCAATTTGAAATTGATATTCTAGCATAAATAATTTACCGAAACAGGGCTGTGACAGACAGACACACAAAGTCGCACAATAAGGGGCCTCTATACCTTTTTCATATAGAACCCTGTAAATTTATGTAAGGCTAAAATGTTTGAGCCACTTATATCTTTTAACTATAGTAGATGCACATGACTAATAAATTGTATATTTATTCTTGCTGCAGGGACTTCGAAATCACATGGCGAGTCAGCACAGCAACGCGAAGCCCTTCACTTGTCTATCATGTGGGAAGGCATTTTCGACACGGTGAGTTAGTGTTGTGATCACTAACAATACATACCTCATAAAACTTTTTAAATGTATGAAAAAGTTGTAAATATTTTTTTCTATTTTATTAATAAGAAATAGACGTGTGTAGAAAGAAGCAGTCTTTCCTTCCCCGTGGGTGTAGTAAGAACGTCTAAGGGAACATGATGGTCGAAGATTGAGCAGCAGTGTCTCTTTTAAAACATCACCAAAGGCCTGACTGCAGTTGCCAATCCGTCTATCAAGCATGCCAACTACTGGCGACCCCCCTTCGGGGGAAGCCTAGTGAACAATTAACGGCTGATATGATGATGAATGACAAAAATATTTACTACTTTTTTTTGGTATCACAAATGTGATTTACGACTATTTGTAAACTATAATTAAATGTTCTCATTTCATAAGAGAACCTATTCTAACTTTTTTGGTCTTGTTTGGGATATAAGAGGATAATATCAAGGTATAAATAAATGTATTATCTTTTCAGGAAGATGATTCGGCGTCATGAACGAAAAGCTCACAATCGGCCAAAAATGAGATCCGGAGTTGTGCCTAGTTATGTGAAGCAATTGCAAGAATTATAGTTAATTTTAAGAATAAAGTAATAGTCAATTCATTCTACTACTTGTGTTATACTTTAAATTACTTTATTGTCATAAAATTAACAATTAAATTTACAATTAAACATTTATTAAACTATAATTATGTTAATGCATTTTTTTTAAACTTGTCCCTAACAATCAGTAGGGTAATAATCTATAATGGAGTATTTTTTTAATAGTTGATAAAGAAGTGATATCCCTGCATGCGCTAACGATATACCGTCAGTGTATAATGATGAATTCGTCATGAGCCAACTGACCTATTTCATCCTGGTACTGGTGCTTACAGATAGCGCAGACGGGGTTACCATTTCATTATCATTAATTCAAAAACTAAAGTAATTCTAATATTAGAAAATTAGTTCATATTATCCTTAAAATAAGGATATTGCATGATAAATTGAAATTTCAATTTTAGAAAAATGATACCTCACATTTGGCCCCAACAATTAACATGTGAGGTCCTGAATAGAGATTCTGAATTGTAACTTATTTTGATAATTCTATATAATATGATTTTGAATTTTTGCCAGAAGCAATTATGTGAACGGCCATTTCAGTTCGAAGAGAGAAGGGCATAGAGCCATAACACATTAGGCTTAAGGAATAGCAATGCATTAAGGGTATCATGGGTAACAGTATACTCTTGACTGTTAGTAATGCAGACTACCAGTCCCATTATTAGCAATATACCCCATCAAATCAACCTCCATGTGGTTCGCCCTGGAATCCATTGTCCTGAATGAATGCTGAATTCCAGGTTTATTTATCACGATGAGCTAAGTGGTATGCTCTTCCATTTTCACTTATCTTCCCACTGGTGCCTTGCAGGTGTATACTGATAGTGCAGGTGAAGATACCTTTCCATTAATTTAAAAAACTGTATACTCCGTTATCTTTATGGTACTTGCTGTTCATGTCTATAAGCGATGGTTATCACTTTCCATCAGGTGGGCAGTCAGCTTGTTTGCGATTAACAAGGATATAAATTGTTTCACTGACTATCCAACATTGTTCTGATGAAAATTATGGCCTTTCTCTCAAGATTGCATTACTAAAAAGAGTATAGTGTGGGGGATAGGTTAGAATCATAATTTATTTATTGAATGTAAGTTATGGATTCAACATTTGATTAAAAGAAAGTAGGTATCAATTACGGTAATACATACATACACTGAACATCAAAATAATAGAATTTCATCATGCCTCTGATCAAAGTGTTTATAATTACTCCTCTCCATCTAAAGGTTGCCTGGAAGAGATCGCTTTTACCGATAAAGTTTTCTCATTTTGATTATTTTTTGTTATTGTTTATATTTATAATAAGTTTACAATTGTAATTTATTAGAGGAAACAGTAAATATTATATATCTATTAGCATTGTGTTCACAAGAAAATAGCATATAGCTGAGTGACACCATTTATAGTGCTTTTTCTTTTTTGTTTATTGTAAAGTGTTTTTTTGTTATTATGTGTGAAATTAAGCAATAAATAATTATTTCCATCTTTCTAATTAGGTGTCAATACAGTTCATTCAGGTAAAAATTGTCACTCATGAAATAGCACAAGGTATATTAAGGCATTTTTGTAATACTGACTAAACACCATGGCATAGATTGTAAATAAATGCTGAATAACTGAAATCCAATGAAAATTTCACTAAGTCTAACCTCAAACTGTCAACAGGTGAAATACAAAAACAAAATTAGTTTTTTTGGGTTTTTATTTACTTACAGCCCTAAACTGTCACATTACTTTTTGGCGGCCGCGCCCACTTTCGATTTCTTGGTACCACGTACCTTCTTCATCCTGTTCTTACGTTCTTTGCGCTGTTTGCGTGTAGGCCGCTTCTTTTCGTATAAACCGTGGCGTGCTAGTCTGTGTTTGGGCTCGAACTTCTTGGCCAAGTCCAAGGTATCATAGATAAGCGCGAATCCTGTAGACTTGCCACCACCGAAGTTGGTCTTGAAACCGAATACAAAAACTACATCAGGTGTCACCTTGTACATTTTGGCCAGCTTCTCTCTGATCTCAGTCTTGCTGACGGTAGGTTTTCCTGGATGGAGAACATCGCAAACCATCTGCTTGCGCGCCAACAATCTGAAAATTTTACAAAACGTTACCACTTAACCTGTCATGGCGAGGTGCATGGAGTTTCACATCAATATTTACACGTTCACATTTTGAAATAAATGGTTTGCTTGTTTACCTGTTGGTCATAAATTTGCGCGTGCGAATTGTCGCGGTGCCTTCACTCATTTTTACTTATTTTATAAATTTCGGCGTAAATGACGCACGTGTCTCCAACAATACTCGGAGAAAAAGGAAGAGTCGATGTTGCCAGCTTATAATTTTTTCATACCCTATTTACCACTTAACTAGATTTTTTTAACAAAATGACACGAAGTACACAAACTATTATTGTTAATTATTATTAATATTATTCAATTTCTGTTAACTATGTATTTAATTAAAAAGTTATTATAGCTGTAATGTTCCTTTAAAAATAATAATAAATTTCTTTTATTTTCAGAAGTGGATAATAATTATTAAATACTCGATACAAATGTTTTATTATAATTTTGATTGAACCATTCAGACAATTATTCTGACATAACATTTATATTATTAATTATTATTATCTATATAGATACTGTTGGTGCCTATTAATTTATCATTGAAATATTTTATAATACCGGTCAGTTCAATATTAATTATTATATTAATGAAGGTAGAAAAAGAAGGTTTTAACGAATAATGGTGCTAACTATATTTATTTTTGGCTTTCCCCATTTGTTTGAGATTTTATAAATGGTAACATTTATAGTCTTTTTTTTTTTAATTAGTACCACAGAACTAGTATGTATCTAAGATTAAGAACAAAGATTTGCATAGAGGAATGATAAAATATAAACTGTAAATCATATGATTGCTACCTTTCTCCTTAATTACTAATTGTAATTAGTAAAAAGAGGATAAAAGATACACCATCAGTTGCTATTTTTGTCAATTCATAGCAGGTTAGTATATAAAAAATGTTATACGGCTGTATAAGATTTTGTATCCTTTGGTATTACCCTATCAAATTCAAATATGCTTGCATACTTTCTACATAAACCGTGACGAATATATAATCTAGTAATATAAAATTTGTCATTGATTAATAATTTGATTTACAGTTTTTATTTTATCATTCCTTCTATGTAATTCCTTGTTCTTAGCGTAGTTCTTAGGTATGTATTCGTCCTATGTTGTTTAAAAGTTGTCACTGGAAATATATTAATATAACTAACATTTGTACCTATGCCAACACTTTGACACATCAAGATAATAAAATAAAAAAAATATATATATATACAAAAGAATTATATCAATAAATATGATAATTAACCTAGCCACTTTAGAGTGCAAAATTTCTTTACAAAATACATTTCTTACAAATATTTTTTATTACGTCAAGTGACGACGTCCAATAGAAAGTTTAGAAAGGAGATTTCCGTCATAGTGACTATTTTTTTTTTTATTTATCCTTTGTTATTTTATCTGTGGAATTTTGTAACATGCTTACATATTTCTCTTGTTCTTCTTAATACACCGCCTGAGCCTTCAACGAGGGTTTGGTTTGAAAAATCTAATGTTTTTCTTGGTAGACAATATTATAGTACATTAAGTAGATTGCGGATAGGTCATTGTAAATTTCCTGCACATTTGCAACGTATTAATTTATTGGATAATTCTATCTGTAAATACTGCCAAAACATTTTTTCTGATTTGGATCATATTTTTTTTATTTGTCCTAAATTCTCACTTCAACGGTTACTTTTTATTAGTCAATGTCAATATTTATTAAAATGTCAAAATATTCCTACTTCAGTGCAGGATCTACTAAAACATATCATTTTGTACCAAGAAATTTTTAATTATATTACTTCAACAATTGGTGAAATTTAAATATGTAATTGTAACTTATACTTTTCTACTTATCTTACATTCTTAGTATATTATAATTAATTTATAACTATAATAATTTTTGTAATTTGTCTTGTACTTTTATATTGTTACCTTGTAATTGTTACTTTTTGGCTGATGGCTTTCGCCAAAGTCACAATAAATGAGAAAAAAAAGAAAATCTTAATACACATAACCTACAATAATTATATTACACTAATTATGAATAATTTACTGCGTATTTCGCCCAGTAAGTAGAAAAGTAAGAAATATAAGGTACCTCTAGTAATCTATAAGCACATTATATTAAGTCTATATTAGGAACCAACTTTAGCTATACCTACTACCCGCCATATATATTAATATTAGCAGAGGGGAAATGTTGTTTGTAGTTGTAACCTTGAACTTTCTCGCGTCCCTCAGGGTCATTTTCATAAAACTTTTATTTATGGTTTCGGTTATCTATATAATAGTTATTATTGTAGGCGTAACTTTATTATTTAACTAAATGCGAATCTAATCTTGTAATGGTTCCATCTTCTATTATTAGTTCTCATTTTAATTTATTAAATTATCCGTCAATACAATTGTTAAAAGTATAATTTTAATAGACAGATGTTCTTTTTGGAAATCTTTAATTTCAGTACAATAGGTTCAAAATAGGAAAAATCATGCTTTATCTAGGTATGCACCGAATTTGAAAATTGGGTTGATTCCCAAGACTTCTTTTACCTGACCTTCTTACTTATAACCTAAGCCGTATAACGTAGGAGGTAAGAAATTGTTAATAATAGAGACTAACAGCCCTATTACTAGCAATATAGTCTATCAGGTCGACCTCCACGCGGTTTTCCCTGGAAACCATCGTGAACAATTCTTGTTGAATTCGTCACGATGGGCTAACTAACCTGCTTCATCCTCATCTATCATCCTTCACTGGGGCCCCGCCGGTGTATACCGATAGCGCAGGTGGTGTTATCATTCCATTATCATCTATTAAAAAAATAGTCTACCATGTCGACCTCCATGTGGTGCCCCACCAACATGTACAGATAGCCAGGGTAGGATTACGATTCCATTTTCACCCATTAGAAAAAGTTTGTCACAGGGGAAAAGGGATTGTTAGTAATGCTTTATCTAGTAAGAGCTTTATCAGCCTCATTACTAGCAATACACTCTATCAGGTTGACTTCCATGCGGATTACCCTGGAAACCGTGTATATTTTGTGTTGAATTCCTCACAATGTAATTAACTAATTTACCATTCCATTGTCATCCATTAAAAAAAATCATACCTCACTGGTGGCGAAATCCCGTTGTAATTATAAATTTACCGTAAATTGCCACCTGGAAGGAACATATTGCGAGATTTCAAATCCTAGTAAGTACTAGGGTAAACAGGTAACATTTTATTACATAGAAATTTTTATAGAACACAATAGATTCGATTTTTTTTTAATGGATGATAATGGAATGGTGACCCCGCCTGCGCTAACGGTATACGCTGACGGGGCACCAGTGAGGGATGATATGTGAGAATGAAAAAGCAGGTCAGTTAGTCCATCGTGATGAATACACTTGGAATTCAGCACGATGGTTTCCAGGGGGAACCGCAATAGATTCGATTGAATTCTTATAAATTTATTGCACGTTGGCAATTAGTTGCTATAATAATTGCAACAGGCGCATTCAACTTAAAATACAATTTGTGGTAAATTTGCTGGAGCAAATTAGACAATGTATTACTACACCACATATAAGTAATCGTACATTGTTTATTAATGGTTATATTTATAATTATAAATATAATAATTTAAAAAAATCTTAATAATATGTTGATTGAATCTAGTTAAGTGTCTGTAAATCTGATTGTCTATGGTTCTGTAACATTTCTAAGAACAAGGAATTACATTTACTAAAGACGAGGCAGAATGCCCTATGGTCGTAGCCTGTCCGAAAGGACAAATTAATAAAAAAAAGGGAATTACATAAAAGGAATGATAAAATAAAAACTGTAAATCATATAATTGCCTCTTTTATTCTGATGCAAATATAATTAGTAAAAAGAGGACAATTAATTGTCAATAAGAAATTTTACATTACTAGATTATATAATCGACACCGTTTATATAGAAAGTAAGCAAGCAGGTTGTATCTAAATTTGATAGGGTTATACGGCCGTATAACATATTCTATACACTAGCCTGCTATGAATTGACAATTTTATCACTTCATGTCAACCTTGTTCTTAGGCAACATTTATAAGAAATAAAGTTATCTTTGGTCTGATCCATAATTGAGTTTCATTGAATAACATATAATATCATATTTTTTAATGGGTGATAATGGAATGGTAATCCCGCCTGCGCTATCAGTATACACTGGTGGGGCACCAGTGTGGAATGATAGGTGAGAATGAAAAGGCAGGTCAGTTAGCCCATCGTGGTGTATACACCTGGGATTTAGCACGATAGTTTCTAGGGGGGACCACGTTGCTGCCGGTGGTATGGACGATTGCGGAAGCGCACTCAGGCTATCAGTGCGAATGCGCCAAGAGGAATACCGGGGGGTTTTTAGTGGGTAAGAATCCCACAGTACCCATCGTCATCCCGCTGGCGGTGGGTCTCTTTCTGAAGATTTTCCCCTCGTTAAAAAAAAGGGGGGGACCACATGGAGGTCAACCCAGTAGGGTATATTGCTAGCAATTCTATTGATAAAGACCCCAGTCACGTCCACGTGTTATTTTATTCGGCGACCATTTAGTACGAATCCCTGCAGAGTAATTTGTCTTATGGGAGGGGGAATATATGTCAAGGGAACTATATTATCCATTAGTTGCGTCTCAACTTTTTGGCTAAATGCCATGACCCGAATATTGAGAAAAAATATATTTTATATTCTTTGCAATAGCCACTAAAAATCTCTTAAACATATAATATAAATGTTTCAGATATGTTGTGTCAAGTATAATATAAGAGATGGGAAATACAAGAGTATAAAAAAGTTACAAGATACAAGCATATACAAGTCCAGGGGAAGCGGCAATAAATGCGAAAAAGAGAAAGACGATACAAGCGCTGGGATACTCACAGCATCAGCTGAGCCGGTTCCTTTTGCCGGGTGTGGGACACTTTTTGTATATGTTATTTGTATTTTGTACTGTAATTGTATGGCAATAAATGTTTCTATTCTAAAAAAAAAATGGCAAAAAAAAATTGTTTTCTTGAATTTTAACTTAACACACTTCGAGTGAACCGAGTGTCTTTTATTAAATGAAAGCGAATTTGTTTGTCTGTTTGTTACCTTATAGCGCCTTATCGGCTTAACCAATCACTATGAAATTTGATGTACTCGTACACGTATTGTATTAGATGGAGAAGTATATAAACTACTTTTTATCCCGGTCAGAAAACATATTCCGGTCACGTGGACGAAGCCGCGGGCACAAGCTAGTCTTTGATAAGTTGCAACATATAAATTGAATTTTAAGTATTCAAGATAATTTTAACGCATCTAGTATCGACGGAGTACTGGGATACAAGTAGTATTGAGAAAATAAAAATTATTATGCAAAATTGAAATCAATCTACAATTAAAAAAAAAACACCGGCTTTAATTGAGGCAAAATCTATTTTTTTACTTTAAAAACTGAACAGCTGAACCCATTTTGATAAAGTTTATATGGGATCAACCTGAAAGTACTACAAAGTACAAACAAAAGTCGATTGCTTGGGTACCTCTGTCCCATTCGTGTTTCTACCGTGAAGCAGTTGTGTTTGCATGGCTGTGTTTCGGTTTGAAGGGTGGGATATGGCAGTGAATTTACTGGGTACAGAGGAATAACACCTGAGTCCTCAGGAATGGAAACGCATGGGGGTATCATGGGCGAAACAGTATACTCTGTTATGTCCATGGTACTGCTCATGTCTATAGGCGACGGTTACCACTTTCTATCAGGTGGGCCGTCAGCTTGTTTGCCATTCTAAGTCGTATAAAAAAAAATATCCTTTTAGTAAAAAAAAGGAATATAAATCGATTTATAAATGTCTCAAAACTCCATAGTTTTGAGGTAACAAACAAAAAAATACAACCGAATTGTGAATCTCCTTTTTCAAAATAGGTTGAAAAAATATGCTCACGACCTATATTAATTAGTTATTTAGTTTATAAAAATAGAATAAATAATTTCTTTTAGCGTGAGTTACCTAACAGCTCACAGCAGCAGCAAACATGTTTAGGCAGGGAGACCGATACGATAATGCTATTAGAACTCGGAGTCGGTAAGTTGAGGTGTTTTTTTTAATGGATAATAATAAAATGGTAACGTTTGCGTTAACGGTATACGCTGGCGGGGTACCAGTGAGGGGTGATGGGTGAGGATGAAAGGGCAGGTCAGTTAGTTTATTGTAACCATGAACCATGGCAATGAAATTACAAAATACAGCCTCTGTACCCTGTAATATCTTAGTACTCAGGAATGGCATCACGTTAGGGGTATCATAAGCGACACAGTGTACTCTGTTAAGTCAATGGTACTGCTCATGTCTATAGGCGACAGTTACCACTTTTCATAAGGTTGGTAATCAGTTTGCTTACCTACTATTCTTAGTTGTATAAAAAATTGCAAAATTAATCATACACGATTTCTTACCACCAGCTCTCTAACTATATAGGTATAACATTATATGGGTGATTTCACCTTTAGATGAATAGTTCGCTAACACTATTAATAACTTAGGGGCGGTTTTCTTTGTTATATAAAAGATGGATGGCTGTAACTGTAAAGAATATATACCTATACATGTGTATGTGTATGTATGTATATGTATGTTTGTTTGCATGGCTGTGTTTCGGTTTGAAGGGTGGGATATGGCGTGAATTTACTGGGTACAGAGGAATAACACCTGAGTCCTCAGAAATGGCAACGCATGGGGGGTATCATGGGCGAAACAGTATACTCTGTTATATCCATGGTATTGCTCATGTCTATAGGCGACGGTTACCAGTCTCCATCAGGTGGGCCGTCAGCTTGTTTGCCATTCTAAGTTGTATAAAAAAAAGCCCATTGCCATGATATTTTCAACTTATATCAAAAATTAAGAGATTTTTACTTTGTTTGAATTTTTCTCTAATGTTTATTACTTTATAACTCCGTCAGTTATAAATAAACCCATTTGGAAAATTCTTTTTCATCTCAATGGTTATACTTACAGGTTAGTCCCGTAGCAATCACCAGTTCAAAACTGGTCATGATTTTTATTTAATCATTGAAGAAAACATAGATTGCTTTTAATTAAAAATACACATATACATATATCAATTTCAAAATAATAAAAAAAAAACTTCAATTGTGACAAAACCCAGTTATTTAGTTTTAAAAACTAAACTGTTGAACCGATTTTGATAAAATTTCTAAGGGACTAATCTGTAAGTATATCTGACGAACTGACGGAGCTATGAGAGAACGAGGTAACAAACATAAAAAAAATACGACCGAATTGTTCTGTAACTTGAACGGTAACTGTTTACCGTCAAACAGTGGTGTCTATTGTTTATCAATTACATGAAATGACGCAAGCAGATCCACCGGTGAAAAGCAGTAGAATATTGTTTTCCATCTACCTATACATAAGAATTTACGTACATATAGTTTCTTGTGACGTCACATCGCCACGAACCGTACGGGCCATTCAAGTTAGACCTCTACATTCCGCCGTAAACACCCCTCGACAACCCACCCAACTATTGTAAGAGGATGGCGGGGTGGCTCAACTTGATCAGTCGGGGGATGGAGGTACCCATATCGATCGGGCCCGTTGGCGCCAGTAGTACAATATGAACGAACTCTGAACTGGGTGCTTGTGTCTCGACTATTCTGGAAATATTTGAAAGGAATCACTAAATCGTTTACTATTTGTGTGTGTATCTCTCCAACGGTATGTGATATTTTATTATATTAATTATTTATGTAAATATTTATTTATTTCACACAATAATCTTTGTTTGATACTTTCACGGAAGTTTACGAGTCGGAACGTGGTTTTGACAGCTTCAGGGTTATAATCCCTCTTGCATTTAATTTGTGACTTTAGATTTACGCTACGGAGTTTATTTGACAATATTTGTTGGATCTCGAACTAGAAATATGTAATAGTCGTTCGATAATTAAATGGTTTTAAATTGACTAGAATAATTTTTTTCATAGTATGTTTCAAAGCATGTATTTAGGGTTAAGGAAAAGAGACAAATTATAAGAACTACTGAGAAAATGTTAGGACACTTGTTACGACACGACGAACTTATGAACATTATAACAGACAGTAAGATAGAAGGAAGGAGGGGAAGAAGGATACCAAGGCATAGTTACATCAGGCAGATCAAGAGAAAAGTTGGTGCCGTGTCGTATCAAGAGGTGAAGAGACTCGCTGAAAATCGTAGTGAGTGGCAAGAGCTCCACCGACAAGAGCGCAGCTCTTAAATAGGATAGATAGATGTTTCAAAAGAATAGAGTTTAATGAAAACGGGATCAAGTTTTATTATAATTATTACAAAAAAAAAACCCACCAAATGTTAATCAACACATACATACATATCTGTCACGCCTGTCTCCAATTAGGGTAGACAGAAACAATGGAACGCCAAATGTTTCGATTCAAACAAGCCTTTTTCGCTTCCTCCACATTCATCAATCTTTTCACACACGCTCGCCGGTTACGGGTACTTTTAATTTGGCCTATGTTCAGCACGTCGCCTATTCGGTCGACATATGTCCCTCTAGAGCGGCCCTTACCGACATCTCCATTAATTTTTGCTCGATAAATCTCTTTCATAATTCCTCTTTCATTTATCTTCTCTAAATGGCCAAACCAAAGCAACATTACCTTTTCGATTCTTGTCACTACATCGTCTTTCAGTCCACACTTCTTTTTAATTACACTGTTTCTCACTTTATCTTTTAACGTAATCTCTCTTTCATCCCTACAACATTTATCTTACTTTCATGCTTCTTCTGTCATAACCACGATTCGCTTCCAAAAGTGAGCATCGGTGTCAGCACTCTCTGAATTGGCAAATTCAACTTTATAAAATTTCTTCCAAAAGCCAAGCCGGGCCAAATCGATAGTTTTTAATAAAATGGACTAATATTTGTAGCTGTACATAGGATGTACCACAGCTTAAAATAGCTGTTAAAATAACAACGCATTAGCGTCCCAATTCACCGGTTCCGTCCATCCCGGTTCGCCGCCTGCCGTTTTACATCTTTATTTATTTATTTTACACTTTATTGCATCAAGTAAAAAAATAATAAACACAGCAAATATTAATGAGAAGTGATACAAATGGCGGCCTTATCGCTAAGCAATCTCTTCCAGACAACCTTTGGGTAGAGGACATTGAGAAAAAGACAAAGGATAGGTGGCGCACTATTATATAGATCTTTACTCTTTTTATTAAACCCACCCTTGTGAAATATGAAATAAGTATGAAAATCGCGAATTCAATCGAGACAAAATATAGGATTAATAGAGAAATAAATCCTATTGAAAACATAAATAATTATTTAATTCAACTAGGTGTTATTTTGCGGAAGTCCATATCACTGGTTATTTGATTAGAATTATTTTTATTATTTTGTTTAATTCCACTACCATTAATAATATAAAATAATAATAATAACTGAAAATACCTGTCGCAAAACGTGCGCGAACAAAGTGATAGTAGAAGATTGATGGCTAATATTGGAAGGTTGTGGAACTTCTGATAGTAATAATGGTGGACAATCTTCGAGTACTGGCAGTCACACACATATTAATGGTAGCGGAATTAAACAAAATAATTTCAATGAAATAACCAACATAAATAATTATCAAAATCTATTCGGAAATGGTGTAGATGTTGTGTAACATATACATAAAGAATACATATAAATATACTGAGAGCCGTGTTAAATTTAAAATATTTCAGTCATAGTAATGTTGAAATTCAATCGTTCTCCCATTTGTTTAGAAATCGTTAACTTCAGACAAACACAAACTTCTTTAAACAAATAAATATTAAAACTATGCTTCCAATACTTTAGAGCAGTGTTCTTCAACCTTTTTCATGACACGACTCACCTAGTATGAAAAAATAATTTCGCGACAACCGACTTATTTTTTTGTTAAAATGTATCAATATAATTTCTTTTAATTATCATTATTCTTAATAAGTCTATTTTTATAATTTTGTTTTTTTTTTTTTTACTGAGATAGTATTTGCGACCGCACCATAGAGGCTTCGCCACCCTCAGGGGGTCGCGACCCATACGTTGAGAAACACTGCTTTAGAGAATCGAGATATATCCTGCGGCAAGTCCAGTTCATACAAAGCAATTAATAAATGTAATCCGTTTAGGTTATCGAAAATTTCACTATTTTTATTTTCGATAATTTAAAAAATTAGGTCAGTCCTAGTTGAAAGTAGTGAAACTGAATATGTATATGAAATTTTCCCGTTTTTGAGCCGTCTTATTCATGCGAAATGCGAACGATTAGTTACTAGATTCTTAAGTATACTTTAGTCCTTAGTAACTTATGTAACGCATGTAGGGTATCATGGATAATACAGTATATTCAGTTATGTTCAAGGCACAGTTCATGTCTATAGGCGACGGTTATTACTTTTTGTCGTCAGCTTGTTTGCCATTCTAAGTTTCATAGAAAATGTAATTAATCAAAATAATATTTTAGTGTACTGCTCGTACAGATACTCAATTTCTTGTATAATATTATTAAAAAAATTTAAGTATTCCTTTATCATTATTATATTATATAAAATATTAATTTGGAGGTGTAACGCTGGTGTTTTACAGTTACTCAATATTGTTATTATTCTTATTTGTAATATGTATTTAATATTTTTCAGATCGGAATTTCCTTTCATAATCGACATAACACTTGGCTGATAATTAAGTGATAAGTTGTGGCGCAAACGTTGTGCCACTCCGCGCCATACCGCGTGTATGGGTGACGTCACACAACACTACAAACACAACAGGTCCTTAATGGTACCTGAACAAAATAAGCCCAATACTCTCAAACTGAACAGCGTGGCTAGAGAGGCCAGTCGATACTCAGCCAGAGACCCAAGATTAAGAATCTAAGATACCAGAAACATACCCTAAACTTTGTCAGTATTAAATTTATGAGGTATTGTTTTGAGTACAAAAATGGAACCTAATGATTCTGTTGTTTTAAGGAATAGGGCTCCTAAAAGTAAAGATCCTATCAGAGATTTAGCAGTTCGAGAGTCATTGCTTTCAGAATCAACATCTGGTATTTGTAAAGATGAAGAAGAAGACTCTACTAGTTTTGGCACTACGTCTTTTTCCAGTCCTGATATTGAAATCAGCAACAAAGAACATTTTGTTTTCACTAATAAAACCAATGGTAAGATAGAAAATAATATTGTTGGAAAACAAACAATATTAGAATCGAAGCCGTTGAAAAATAATCAAGTGAAGATTACAGAGAATCCCGCTGATGTAGAAATTGATTTCCAGAAATTAGATATTAATGAAGACGATAAAAAGGTGGCCATACCAGACGGAGGCTGGGGGTGGGTTGTGGTGTTGTCTTCATTCATAATATCAATGATTGCGGACGGCATTAGCTTTTCCTTTGGACTGTTGTATATAGAATTTTTGGACGAATTCGAAGCTAGTAAGTCGACAACAGCATGGATTGGGAGCCTCTTTATAGCTGTCCCATTATTATCGGGGCCGATCATGAGCGCTTTAGTAGACAGATATGGCTGCCGAAGTATGACTATTTTAGGAGGCATCATTTCAACACTTGGATTTGTTCTTGCATCAATTTCGACTACAATAGAAATGATGATGGTGACTTTCGGTGTAATAGCTGGACTGGGTCTTGGATTAGTTTACGTTACGGCGGTAGTTTCAATAGCGTACTGGTTTGAAAAGAAACGGAATTTAGCTGTTGGTCTTGGGGCGTGCGGCACCGGAGTTGGAACCTTTATCTATGCTCCAATGACTCGTCACTTTATAAAAGAATACGGATGGAGGGGAACAATACTTTTATTGTCTGGAACTCTTCTTAATTTGTGTGTATGCGGATGTGTGATGAGAGATCCCGAATGGTGGATAATTGAACAGAAGAAACAGAAGAACAACGAAAACGATAGTAAAGTAAAAAAAGAAGAAGATAAATCTAAAAATTCTAGTTCGGCTTCGATCACTAATCCTTATGCTTTTGACTTCGATGTTGCTACGAGAGGGAAGAGCATGGGTGGGTTGATCCGCAGAGGACTGGCTCCTGAAAAGGTGATAAGTCAAGAAGCAGCGAGTATTCGTCGTCACCAAAACATGTTGCTGTACAAGAAAAGGCAATATAAATTAAAACAGAGGTCACGTTCGGTTGTCAACTTGCCTACGTATCTAACTTACAGTGATAAGGTATTGTACATATATTGTATTATAATTTAGAATAAGAAAAAAAATATCAATTATTTTTTGCGTTTCTGATACTCGCTTTGATCTAATGAAAGAGTTTAATTATTTACCAGGACAGGTATTAGCATATTAGCTCTATCGTTCAACAATGCATGCATTGTTGTGTTGTTTTAAGAATCATCCGTTTCGTCTTCGATACAAGAAATAAGGACTTTAAAAATACTATATGATTTTAAAATTCATTTATGTAGTAAAAATTTTTATCATATGTAGTTTACAATATAATATATTTTCTATTATTCAAAGACAATCTACATATAATTATACGTTATCCCTTTGTCAAGGGAGTGAGAGATAGCAATTAGGATGGCATAAGTACATATTTCGTCAAAATCTTTGTGAATATCTTAGTACACAAAAATTATCTCTAGTTTATTACAATGGTAAAAGCAAAGACAATTAAAGTAGGTAATGTACATATACGTAGATGTAGGATTTCGTAGCATATGGTCCAACCCAAACCGTTCGTTGTAATTATTTATAAGTAAATTATATTCTTCAAATTTTAAAAGATAGTAAGTATTCGAGTTTGAATAATACTCAATTGAGAATTTGCTCAGATTTTAGAATTTACTCATATATTTCTAACTAGCGATTTCCTGCAGCTTTGCTAGCGTGAGTTTGTCCATAAAGTATCCTATATGCTAAGTTAGAATATAAGATTCCTGTATATTAAATTTCATTCAAATACTTTCTGTAATTTTTTTACGTAAAACCGTAACAAACAACTAATCATCCATCTATCTATTTATACAAATTTTAATACGACCCAACACGGAACACAGTACATAAAATCTACTCGCACGCTACTACATTTTTATCTTTAGAGATTAATTAGTCTTAAAGCACGTGATACGGCTCATAGTTATTAGGCGAAATTAGCTATAAATAGAAATAAATTAACAGAATGAACCCTGTCAGATAAGTTAAGCCCTAATTAATTGTTTATTTACATATCAAATGACGATTCTATTGCTTTTTAGATATCAATGACGATGCTCGATGTTATTGTGAAGACAGCAAGCAAAGAATACGATATAGAGGTGAAATATCCGGCATTTGCCATTAGTCGCAATACACGGAAGAAACTTGCAGAAGTTTCCAAAGATGATAACGATCCACCTGTAGTTACATATAAAAGGTCTAGTTTACAACGCACAAATTCTGAAAAATACGACTTTAAAGATGACAGAGAGTATGAGAATTATCAACTAAAGAACCCTAGACAAGGTTATCCATTGACGAAGTCCAAGTCCGATAATAACAAAGATAGTAAATCGCTCGTAAAACAGGACAGCAAAGAAAATAAACGCGATTGGCTTAAGAAACAGTTATCAGTGAATCATCATTATTTAAAAGATTTAAAGATGCCAATAAATTCTATAAGTCATAGAAATGCGATTCTGAATACAAAAAGATATAGGTTGAAGGCATCTTCATGTCCAGACATATTTAAGAATTCTATGATAACAATCGATGAAAAAGAAGAGGTAAATCAACTCGTGTTGTTTATATTTAATTATTGGCCATTAGGCCAAATTAGTAGGCTTCTTCTGCGGTGATCATAATAATAATTAGTATTTATTATATTTGCATTATAGTTGCTATGAATATTTTTAGATTAAAAGGATGTTTTTTATAATGGAATGGTAACCCTTTTTGCTCTTCCGGTATACGCTGACCGGGCACCAGTAAGAGACGATAGGTGAGGATGCAGTAGGCCAAGTGGGCTATTTTGACGAATTCGACAAAAATTAACCACGATGGTTTTCAGGGGAAAACATGTGGAGGTTGATCTGATAAGGTTTTAGAGCTCATTAATAGTAATATAACTTTCTTTTCAAGATTTCCTTTTTCCTCGGTTCAAAGGTGTCTAAACATAAAGGTGAAATGTCGATTTTTGTTTAGTGTAAACATGTTAAAAATATCTAAGAACATTCTTTATTTGCGTTAAACTGCTTTCATGAAAAATTTTACTCCTTAATCTACTCTGTTTACGCTTTAGAGTAAAGCTGTAATTTTACATATTTAAACTGAGAACTATAATAATACTCGTAGTTCTAATAATGTAATAACTGTCATAATATAAATAGTTCTAAACTAACTGAGATGGTTATGAATTTAAAACTATTCAGTTTTATCGTGGCCTATTTCTGAATGTTAAAGTAAAAATGTTTCAGTTATAATTTTGTAAAAAAACATTATTAGAAGGTTAAACCCTATCGAGAACAAATAGACCAAAATTAGTACAGAATTAATTGGCAAAGTTTTCGTGAAACTGTACACAGAAATATAACCAAGAAAAATTTATTTTTGAAGATATTTAAAATATATTGTTCTATGGCATAATACACAAGAAGAGTAAGTCGTTCCTGCGTAGTAAGGATTACTTACCCTTCTTTACATAATCCTTACGTAATCATATGTAAATAGATACAATTTACATAACCCAGATAATGTGTACACTGATATTTTAATTACACTGATTACAATTTATTGTATCTTTTCCCAGAAATGGTACGACGACTGCGTCAGCTGCCTCTCAGATATGTTCAACATTGCACTCTTTAAGAAGATGACGTTCAATCTTCTATGTCTTGGGACCATAATACTGTTCACTTGGTTCATTGTACCGTACTTTTATTTGGCCGAGCACATGATTCAAGAGGGTTACACTGAAGACGACGGAGCTGATATGCTCAGTTTGATAGGCATTACTAATACCATTGGTATGGTAAGTACTGAGTTTCATCTATCGGGAAGGTAGAGATTGGAAAAGTTTTTTTTTCGAATATAAAAACTGGCTGCATTTTTAAATTGACACTTACTGGTTGACTGACAGGCGACTGTCAGGCCAAATTACTTTCCACGCTAAATCAATCCGAAGATGCCTGTAATGCTATACTTTTAAATTTTATTATTATTATTGAATCCTGTGACACTGGGACCTTTCTATAAACTATTTAACTTGTCTTTTTTTAACGCTCTCTGTTATTTCCTATCAATGATTAGAATTTTAAGATATTTTCTCTAGCAATGTTTTTTATCTCCTCAGAATACATTTCGAATAGTTCAAACCTTTTTAATAATATGATTATGATAATATGACACCAAAAAATTTATTTCGAAAAGTTGGATTTGAATTAGTCGGTTTTGATTACTCAGTACATAAAATAGGTATACGAATTCAGAAAAGTCATGCCTTATTTTTTCTAAAAATTTAGGAACCGGAATGTTTGATGGAAAATAGTAACTGTACCTTATGAACAGGAACAGAACTATGGACATTCTAGAATGCACGGTGAATATTTAAATTTATTTAAGTGATCAACCTTTGTTAGCATTTAATTTGTACTCTAATCTCTCTTGCTAACAGCCGCAACCTTCTACTTCTGTGTTCATAATAATTGTGATGGTAACACTCAAATGTTTTATAAACACGAGAAGTTGTGCAGATTTATCCAAGGTGAATGTGCACATATGTGAGATGATTAACAACAGATAACCAAGGTGGTTACCAGAAATAGATGTTATCCAGTTTCCGAATGTCTGGCAATGGGTGTCTCCGGCAACTGTGCCAAATTTTGTTTGCGAGGAATTTTCTATATTTGTCACCAAATAAATTCTCTATAACAGTTTTCAAACAAGTGTTCCTTCATATGTCTGCGAGTATCCTATTTAGTTTTATGATAGTGATTGTATTTACGAGTATTTTGTTTTAAATCTTTTCTTTCAATTTGGTTGTATTTTTTTTTGTTTGTTACTCATAACTCTATAAATTCTAAACTGATTTAGAAAATTCTTTTTCTCAAACGTGCTTGGAAATGTGAGCATTATTTTCACAATAAATCAAAATTGCCGTACTGGCCAGATACATGCGGGCAGCGGCCGGCAAAAGTTGTATGAAAATCCATATCTGTTGTGTTTTGCGACCAGATAAATTACTATGTAAACTCATATCGGTCCTGTAATTTAAAAATGGAATGACCTTTCACTTCGAAACATGGCTATCAAGGAGGTAACTAATAAAAGGTTTTATTTAAATTTCGAACTGGTTTGCAAATAGAAAGCTGTTGTTAATCGAAAAAAAAAACAAAGGAACATTATGGCGCGTGAAAAATTATTATTGTTCGTTATTCGTCATTGAACTTAAAAAGTAAAATGGTTTATTTGATTTCCGCGCATTGTTTGAGAAAAGTACTATACAAGCCTTGGCCACAACTAGGCATTGATGGACTCACGTATGTGTGCCTCGACTACACCTCGGCCCACATTTGCACGCTCATCCATCAATGCCTCAGTTGCTGGCCGCTGCAGTAATGTACTATATTTATCGTAAAGGATATACTTACGATTGGTACCATAGAAACTTTTATCTATATCGATTTATTACTTTAATTTTGCTATTAAAATTCCATATTCTGTGTTGCAAAAAAATCGACATCAAGTATGTGCACAATTTCGCTATACTTGAATGTAGTTTTTTTTTTGCGGAACACGATATTTAATTACGGTTTCATAAAGTTTAAACGTAAAAATTTAAAATTGATTTAACTAAACCTTACTTTAAAATTAATACCTAAACGCACCCATGATCGACGAAATATTTGCTAGACACTAGATTTAACTCACTTAAATTATCATATTTTAATTGTTCCACAAAAAACTTAACTACTACTTTTTCACAAATTTAGTTATTTTATTTAAAAACTAAACTGCTCAACATTAAGATAGAATTTCTATTTCTTTTAGGTCGGTCTTGGCTGGATTGGAGACTTCCCTCAAGTTTCTATTGGCAATCTCTACGCACTGTGCCTGGTGCTATGTGGGGCAGCGGTCGCAGCTCTACCAGTGGCTGCCCAGGATTATTGGATTCTCGCATCTGTGTCCGCAGCATTCGGTCTACTTTTCGCTGCCTCGTTCACATTCACACCTAGCTTGCTCGTGAAGCTGGTTTCTTTGGATGACTTTACTTCGGCTTACGGATTGGTCCTGTTAGCTCAAGGCATTGGACATCTTATCGGACCTCCAATGTCTGGTGAGTACATACAATTTTTTTCAATAAAACTGTTGCTTGTAGATTTTAACATAATACATTGTAATGATGAATATGTTATTGTCCCTAAGCTTTTTTTTGCTGATAAAGGGTCCCGCAATTGATCACAATCTTACCTGATAGTAAGTGATGATATGGAGTATGATGGAGCTCGCAGGCCCACGCATAGTCTATCCCCATTTGCCTTAAATTGATCTATATTTTTTGTGGTTGAAAAATTATGTAGTTGTCTTATTGGAGTTATTTTATACAACTGGCAAAAAAGAAAGTTTTTTTTAATGAGATGACAACCCTATGAAATGGCAACCCCAACCTGCGCTATCGGTATACACAGGCGGGTTACTAGAGAAAGATGATAGGTGAAGACGAAGGTAGGTCAGTCGATTCATCGTGACAAATTTAACAATAATTAATCACGATAGTTTCTAAGGGGAACCGCGTGGATGTCGACCTCACAAGGTATATTGTTAGCCTTTTTAATTATGTATTTTCTGACCATAACGTAAAATTAAAGTAGTCAACATACAACTGAGAAAAATAATTTATGTTATTAAAATTACGCGTTAATCTTTCGAAATTGAAGTATATTTTTAACTTAAGTAACATTTATAATATTTAGCTATTATATTTGTCTTATGATGACGGTTGACGTGATCATTGTTCATCATTATATCGGCCAATAACTGCCAACTGCTGAATATAGGACTACTCCATAAAAGGGGTTTTGCTGATAGTTGCCACGCATGGCAAGCGGGTTGGCAACCGTAATTATATGATTATAGATCTGTAAAATTTATGTTATTGCATGGAAATAAATAATGGATTCCGTTTCGTTTCATTCTCTTCCAGGTATGATATACGACGTAACTTTTTCATGGGAGCTATCGTTCTATCTGGCCGGGGGGTGGATTGTGGTGTCCGGGGCATTGATATCTCTCATACAACCTGTACGTTCCTACCAGAAGCGCCGTGACGAAAACATGGAGAAAAGCAGCAACTCTAGCGTGGCATAAGCGACTTTTGATCTTGTTTTTTAATTTACACTGTAGCAGTAAATGAGCAGGGAGATAAGTTTTTCTGAAAATTGTTCTGCTATGGGATGAATACCTTTTAGACAAAAGTATCCTTTGTAGACCTATCTCTAGACGATTCTATTAATTAATCAACAAGCACAGAGAAACAGCATATAGATGGGGTAACTCCTAGAAATTTTTGGATAAAACAGTCTGTTTTTTTTTTTAAATAGAGTGGTTTTCAGTAATAGTATATATTAACATTGTAATTGATTATTTTTATTACAGGAACTGTTTTATTGTTTTGTTATTTTTTATTATCAATAAACTTTACTAAAATCTGAAAGTATGATTGTTTTACAGATTTCAGTAAAGTTTGTGAAGCAATGCAACAGCCAATAGTTAGTTACCGTTTTTTTGTGACTTTTTATCATTCGATGTTCCAGTTAGATGTATTAGATCTACTGCATTTGTATTTAGTTTTGTTTTCTAAATTTAGAAGATTTTTTTTTTTATTTATGGTTTGCGACTGAATGAAGGTATGATAATCATAATGCTCTCAAGGGATCTCTTTTAGGTTGTTTGTGATTGAAATTTTTCTATATAACAGGGCAGACTGACAGGTTTGTAGTTTATTATATATATATTAACACGTCAAGCAAAAACTTTGCACCCTTTTTTATGAAAATTGCGAGGACGGAGAAGTATGAAATTTCGCACACTTATAGTTTATATAGAGAAGTAGTGCAGAATGCTATTTTTTTTTAATTATGCATAAAAAATACATTAAATCAATAAGAAAAAAAATCACACCTTCACATATGTATTTGACACACACACATAACAAGCATAATCGAAAAAATAATATTGGATAACAATAGATTTTTAATATAATCGAAAATAGATATCCGACTGATATGGGCGATGACGAAATGGCGGATGACCGTTTCCCGCCATCAATGTCTAGGATTTTTTTTTATTGGTAGAAAATTGAATAGTAACCCCACCTGCGCTAACGGGATACGCTGGCGGGGCACCAGTGAAGGGTGATCGATAAAGATGAAAACAGGCCAGTTAGCCCATCATGATGAATTAACCATGATAGTTTTCAGGGGGAACCGCGAGGAGGTCGACCTGGTTGGGTATATTGCTAGCAATGGGATTCTCAATCTCCATTACTAACAATCCCTTTCCCCTCTAGGAATATATTATATAGATATCGGATCGGTATCCATATTACTCATAACTAGTTATTTGTGCCGCTGCCATATCACTAACCAATGTGCGTTAAGATCAAGTATCCGACATTGGATATTGGTAGACATGACGTCATTGCAAATGTTCTTTGTCAATTCAAAACAAGTTTAGTGTTCAACTATTCAATTTAAATGTGTCCTTTTATTAGAATACCTATTCAGGAATGAATAAAATATAACAGTTGAAGGCCTGTGGTAATGTAGATATTTATTAAAAACTAGCTGCCCGCCCCGTCTTTGCACGGGTGTACTAATAAAAAAAAATGAGACCAAATCTTCCTTTTAAGGTTACTGTGTTCTTTTTCACTCACTTACATACGTTACGTTACGGAGGAATAACACCTGAGTCCTCAGGAATGGCAACGTATGGGGGGTATCATGGGCGAAACGGTATACTCTGTTATGTCCATGGTCCTGCTCATGTCTATAGGCGACGGTTACCACTTTCCATCAGGTAGGTTGTCAGCTTGTTTGCCATTCTAAGTTGTATAAAAACAAAACGTTTTTACGTGGAGATTTTTTAATCCAAATTTTTTACTTTTTCGTATTAATATTCAAATATTTTCGTTCATATATAAATCTTATATGTATTAAAGTAAATATATACAGCCATTCTAAAATGATGTGCTTATTTGATTAATAATTTTCATTTACATATGTTATTGTAAAATCCCATACATTGGTAAATCTTGGAAAAAAAACCATAGAACATAGGTTTCTCCCATAGACTGCCACAAGAGACGGGTCGGTCAGTATGTCTTCTTTGTCTAATATATTATGCCGATAACCGATAAGAAATGATGGGGAAGAAGAAGAAAAGAGTAGCGACCCCGTATGGGCAAACGGTGTGTAGAACAACCCCCCACTAGATGGAGTGACGACCTCAAATGCAGAGCAGGGAGTCAGTGGGGGCAAGTGGCTCAGGACCGTTCCTTATGGCAGTCTACGAAGGAGGCTTATGTCTAGCAGTGGACGGATAATGGCTGAAAAGATGATGATAATATTATGCAGTTATTCTGTTGTTAGTTTAAGTTACTTATTAGTAAATATTTAGGAAAATATTTAATCGATAATCCATAATATCAATTTTATGTTTAGAACGTCTTTTTCGTCTATTATTATGCATTATGCTGTTATTATGTCAATTTAAGGTGACGAGATAAAACAAATGTGACGGTTGTATTAATGACTTTCAATTTAGACCAATTTAGTAATTATTAAAGTTAATTATTATTCATTTTTCACATTTTAATTATTATAGAACGAGTATTTGTAATTAATTTATTAAACGTGATAATAGAAATCGGATTATACATTTAGATTGTATCATAATATTATTATTTACTTAAGTATTACTTTCCCGCCTAATAGCTTTTATTTTTTTAGATTCGTTCAAATCGGATAAGCAAAGGGCATGATCCATAGAGCCTAATCTTAGACTTTTTCATTAGTTAATTGAATGATAGTATTGTGATATTTAAAAAGTGTACCTAATACTATGAAATATAAAAAAATAAATCTTCTTGGATAAGTGAGAGAGTTAATAATGAAAATTTAATGAAATTTTGACCATACTGTAAGAGACTCTGGACCTGTTTACCTTGAAACAACCGTCTATCATTACCATTTATTGTATTGTATAGTACAATGAGTATTTTATTTCATAGAGAAATACAAACGAACTGATGATATTATAAAATTTACCTCTTTATACCTTTTCTTTTATAGGGAGGTACTCTCTTTATGATGTCAGCATTTCTAATTGTTAATTAATTTTCTTTACGTATTTCGTCGACAAACTCCCAAATTTTCGATAGGTAGAAATATATAGGCAGATATACTTGTATATAAATTTTAAATTGTATTCCCTTCAGAGGGAAATGAGAGAAATATTTATAAGAACATGTTCCTAATTATGTAATCTGTGTTGGATGTTAGTTAATTAATTTATTCAATAATACATTTTAATAATAATAGTTGAAATACAATTTTTAATTTATTTTTTAGTATTATTAGTTCTTCGTTTTTATTTCAACGTATCGAAAATTTGGAAGTTTGTTGACGAAATATGAGATAAAAAAATGACGTCATAAAGAGAATAGCTACTTGCAAAAGAAAAGGTGTAAAGGTAAATTTGAATGAATTTTCATACAAATTTATTTTTGGAGATTTTCCTGTAAGATTTTCGATTAAAGAATTAAGTGTTACAGAGAATTAATTAATTTATAATTGTTTTTTTTTGTCTTCAGTCTGATATTTTTATTACGTGTCATATTTTACTATATTGTACTTTTTTTTTTTTTTACAAAACTCTGAGATAAATAGAGAAATGTCAGAAAACAATATAAAAGTTCTTCCCTTCTATGGACGTATTATATCGAAATATATTTTATGAAAGTAAAGACATACGTACTTAATCCTTTTATATGTATCGGGTAATTAGTGTTTCTTTTTTCGTATAAGAAAAAAAAAATATTAAAATAAAAAAAGAATCCGTGCATAATCTAGAAATGACTGAGCGTACTTAGTGAAGAACAGTTTCGATTTCAATTAATGCCATTTTTCGAAACTGGTATTAGATTGGCAATAAAATAGGTTAATTTGTTATTTACTTATGGTTAATATGGAAATATTAGGTAAGTTAAAAATTTAATCATTCAGCATGATAACATTTTTAATTTATCTAATATTTTAAGATTTTTGAACGCAGGGTTTGCATTTTATTTTTATTTCACTTCGGTTTGAAGGGTGGGATATGGCGTGAATTTACGGGGTACAGAGGAATAACATCTGAGTCCTCAGGAATGGTAACGCATGGGGGGTATTATGGGCGAAACAGTATACTCTGTTATGTCCATGGTACTGCTCATGTCTAAAGGAGACGGTTACCACTTTCCATTAGGTAGGCCGTTAGCTTGTTTGCCATTCTAAGTTGTATAAAAAAAAAATTAAATAATTTCAAATATATTATACGACAGAATTAAAAATGAAGTGTTCTAAAGACATCGAAAGTTTGACTTATAAGTAAAAGTTATGTGCAATATTTTATTAAGTTGGGGATTTTACCAAAACGAACGTTGAGAACAGGCTTCATAGATATACATTTAATTTTGTTACTTGTGTAAATGTAATCAGGGGGTCTACCATGAAATGAAATTCTGAATTTTCGGGCTCAATTTTGTGTTTTTGTTCGTAACGAAATCGACCCTGTAAATGGAGCTTAACGTTTCATTTGTCATAAATCCTACCATACAAGTTCAAAGGAACGATATTTTAGCATTTTAAATATTTTTAAACGGTATGTATTATGTAATCTTAGTATCAAATTTTTGTTTCGTTCGGATCCGAAATTTCGGAAAACATTTCATGGTAGGCCCTCTGTATTCCCAATAAATTGGAATAAAATGTATTCCATATGTTTATGTCCAATATGGTCTATTTTTATTATAAATTAGTTCAATCGTTTAAGTTTTATTAAGTACTTAACAAACATACAAATATATTTACAAACTTTTATATTTTATAATCATTGATAGGATTGAATTTTGAAAACGGAACGTTATCAATATTAGAGATTGAATTGTTCGTATTTGACAACCATATTCTTTTCTTGTAAATCGCCATATTTGTTTACACAAAAAAAAAAATAAGAAAAAAAAAGTATTTATTTTTCAGTACAAGATTTGTTCAAGGTGTATTTAACGCTAAAAGCATTCTGTCCCAGTCAACCGTAGGGAAGTGTTAGAATGCTATAAGTCTATATATTATTAATTTAATTTAACTCTATTAATTTAATAAATTACTTAATTATAAAGCTATAATTGAATAAATTATAAAATTAATAGGGAGATAATTATAAAAATTAAAGTATCAAAGGTGCTGCTTTTTAAAAATTGCTGTCTTTGAATTAAATTTATACTTATTGATATTATAATTGTGGATTATAGAAATCGCAATATTCGATTAAAATATCGATTATTATAGGAATGATAAGAGCTGCACATTAGTTTGAACAATATTAAATTTGTGTACACGTGTAAGCACAATGTTTAAACAATATTTTTAATATAAACAAATATTTGACTTTGTAATGGACAAAATATAATTGATATAATACTGTTATTACTCTGTAATCGTTGTATGTTATTTAATATGAAAATAAGACAAATAACAATTTACATTATGAATAAACAATCGAAAAGTAATGTGTTTTTTTTTTTATTTATTTTACTGACGGACAATGAGTAAACAATTTAATAATTTATAAATATATATATATTATATATATATATACATATACATATATAGAATTCTTAAATTCTATTTATATTATACATACACCCTAACAGGTCAATCTTTACGAGGTAAATTTTTAATAAATTGATCACTATAAAAAGAAATAAAAAAATAAAAATGTTTATTTGGGATCCTTAGCTTAATTTACAGTTTTTTGTAAAAATCTATATCACTATGGCGAATTGACCTGCTTTATCCTTACAACTTATGTTTACCAAGCCACCAAAACGCACGTATGCCCACGATCAAACACTATTTGTGTGAACATTTACTATGTTCTTAAAAATAAAATGTCATTACCTATTTTTTTTTTATCGTCCGTCTGGATAGCGACGGGCGCATTTGCAACAGTTCCACGAATATTTCAGTGTCCGTGACAATGCTGATAATGGATGTCACTACATTAATGTAATCACATGTAAATCCTTAGATATAATTACATGTAAACATGTCAGAATAAGATAAACGTATGTGAATGAGCTCTCTCTCCACTCGTACATATTTTTAGAAGTAAAACGAGTTTAAATTGCCGAGTGATTTTTAACAAGTGCGTTTTCTGTTTAATTTCGGTACCCTTTTTTTATTTTAGAGTTTATAGAGAGTATTTTAAAAATATTTTACAAATAAACAAACTCACTTTTACTTGAAAAGAGCATATTCCTTTTCAAAAGGCCGGCAACACACCCGCAATGCCGTTGGTGTTGTGGGTGATCATGGGCGGTGGTAGTCACTTGTCGTCAAGTGAGCCGCATGCTCGTTTGCCCCCTGTGTTATAAAAAAAAAACTTTCACATTTATATAATAATAAGGATAGTAATGATAAGGATTTATCGTTGTCCAACAGTGTGTTTTGTTACGAATAAAGACCTTGTTTTTTGCATAGTAAAATGTACTTGTTTAATTATTATTTAAATAACCTAATTAACCAAATGAAAATATGGTACACTGGGCATTGTGATTCCCAAAAAAAAAAAACTTAATTTGGATCTAAAAACTAATCCGATGAACCGATTTTAATAAAATTTATATGAGTCCAATCTATAAATATATCCTTTCAGATATATTTTTTTTTCAAATAGGTTAAATCTGACAGAGTTATGAGGTAATAAACATTAAAAAAATTAAACCGAATACGCTAGTTGACAAAATTTTGAAATGAGTTTAAAAATATAGCTTGATATATTTTATCCCAAAAATATATTATTTTAAGAAAAATAAGCCATTTTACCAAGGAATTTTGCGTTTTTAGTAATGAATTCAAAATTGACATCGAAAAAGGCCAAGACTGTCATGGCGTCTTGAATGACGTCACGCCTCGCAAAACATTCGTGTTTGTTTATGACGGTCAATTGTTTTTATTAAGAAATAATGAATCGCTCATATTGTAAATACTGTGCAATGCCCCAATGTAAAAGTACAACGATAAAAACACCGAATAAATTATTCATATACGTTCTATCTAACAAGCCTATTGCGAACAACCTATTTGAAGTCGGTTGAAAAGACGGATTTATTGCTATATAGCATTCTCTACCAGTCAACCTTCGTCATAAACAATGAATCACGAACGCGGTACTTCATTGTTAGGGTAGGTTTTGGTTTACTTTAATATTTAGCATTGTACGTTTTGTTTTTTTTTTTTATGCAACTTAAAAGTACAAACAAGCTGACGGCCCACCTGATGGAAAGTGGTAACCGTCGTCTAAAGACATGAGCAATACCATGGACATAACAGAGTATACTGTTTCGCCCATGATACCTCTCATACGTTGCCATGAGGATTCAGGTGTTATTCCTCTGTACCCAGTAAATTCACGCCATATCCCACCCTTCAAACCGAAACACAGACATACAAACACAACTGCTTCACGGTTGAAACACGAATGGGACAGAGGTACCCAAGCAATCGACTTTTGTACAAAGTCTCCTTCTGGTATAATAGAATTACCATAGTTTATCTAAACATAGGTAATGGTATGTCGGTTACCTTGTCTTCTAGTTTGTAGTTACTTATACTGTAATGTAAGGTATACCGTGTTCAAACAGCCGACTGTTGTTCTTAGAAGTCTTATGTCCTTCCACGTTCGTCGTAGTACTTCTTTATTCTTTTTATTTTATGGATGATAATGGAATTGTAACCTTGCCTGCACTATCGGTATACACTGGCGGGGCACCAGTGAGGGATAGGTGAGGATGAAGCAGGTCAGTTAGCCTACCGTGACGAATCTAACCATAAATCAGTCAAGATGGTTTCCAGAGGAAGAACGAGGAGGTCGACCTGACAGGGTATATTGCTAGCAATGTTTTTTTTTTACAACACAGGGGGCAAACGAGCATGCGGCTCACCTGATGATAAGTAACTACCGCCGCCCATAGTCACCCACAAAACCAGCGGCATTGCAGGTGTGCTGCCGGCCTTTTAAAAAGGAATATGCTCTTTTCTTGAAGGTTATGTTGTCGTATCGGTTCGGAAATACTGCTGCTGGAAGTTGATTACAAAGAGTGGTTGTGCGTGGGAGAAAGTGCCTTGAAAAACGCACGGTGGAGGACCGCCACTCGTCCAGATGGTTGGGATGAAATTTTAGTTTATAGCGGGTTGTACGACGTTGTACGACGGTGTTACTAATCCCCATTACTAACAATTTCTTCTTCCCCCTACTTCTTTATACTTATACATTATAAAATCATCATCATCAATCAAAGGCGCATGATACTTATTATGACAGCACATTCTAGCTCGTGTGGGGTCTTTCTTCCTTAGAACTGTAATATGATTACAACCATATCACATGTGAGATTTACTACATTAAATGATGTATGCAAACTTTTTGTCGTGCTGTTATTTGTTTTTTATTTTTATACAACTTAGAATGGCAAAGAAGCTGACGGCCCACCTGATGGAAAGCGGTAACTGTCACCTATAGGGGGAAAGGGATTGTTAGTAATGGAGACTGAGAATCCCATTGCTAGTAATATACCCAACCAGGTCGACCTCCTCGCGGTTCCCCCTGGAAACTATTGGAAAAATTCATCATGATGGGCTAACTGGCCTGTTTTCATTCTCATCTATCACCCTTTACTGGTGCTCCGCCAGCGTATCCCGTTAGTGCAGGCGGGGTTACCTTTCCATTATCATATATACATACATACATATCTGTCACGCCTGTCTCCCATTAGGGTAGGCAGAAACAATGGAACGCCAAGTGCTTCGATTCAAACAAACCTCTTTCGCTTCTTCCACATTCATCAATCTTTTCATACATGCTCATCCATTAAAAAAAAAAAGTATAAATGTTCAGTTCAGTTTATTTGTATTCCTAAAAATTATCTGCCGCGGATTTTATCTCTTTGCAGTGACAGATATAAAATATTATAAATATTTGTTCCCAGTCTAAATACCTACTAGATACGTCAGAAGTTTAGAGTTGGTGGTATCTATTTTAACTGTTTTTTTTTTTTTTTTTTTTATGCAACTTAGAATGACAAACAAACTGACGGCCCACCTGATGGAAAGTGGTAACCGTCGCCTATAGACATGAGCAGTACCATGGACATAACAGAGTATACTGTTTCGCCCATGATAGGGGACCATTCCTGAGGACTCAGGTGTTATTCCTCTGTACCCTGTAAATTCACTGGCGTATCCCACCCTTCAAACCGAAACACAGCCATGCAAACACAACTGCATCACGGTAGAAACACGAATGGGACAGAGGTACTCAAGCAATCGACTTTTGTACAAAGTCTCCCTCTAGCTAGAAAAAAAATCTAGCTATCAATCGATTAGCACAAGGTCAAGTCAATCATTTATTTGCATAAACATATGTAGATATTTATTTAATGATATTATTTTATATTATATAGATGGAGCATCGAGCCTCAAAAACGGTTCAACTTTTTTTTTTTGTATTTACTTATTTTTTATTACTATTTTATATATTTATACGTAGAATGTATCTTGACGTATTATTTAATAAATAAAACGAGTGTTTACACATTAAAAAGATGCAGAAATTATAAAACAAAATAAATATAGAAGTTATAAAGGAATCACTCATAACTATTTATCATGCAAAATTGTATGAAAAAGGTGACCCGTTTTTTTCGAAGTATTTGTATGGAGACACTCTATTTATATAATCTAAGGATATTATATATAACATTTAATTTAGATTGCTATGTTCCGCCGTTATCTATACTTATAATAAATCTTCTATACTTATAATGAATCTGTAGAGAGGTCAATTCTGTACATGAAATATATTTCCAAAATAATTATCTGGGGTGATCAGTGATCGATACTGATGCCAAAAATGCAATCAGTAAAATTTTTGTCTGTCTGTCTATATATTCGTTATACAAATAAAAACTACTCGACGGATTTTAACGAAATTTGGTACAATTATTCTTCATACTCCTAGGCGGGTTATAGTATATATTTCATCACGCTACGATCAATAGCAGCAGAGCAATGAAGGGAAATGTTGGGAAAACGGGAGAAACTACTCCATTTTTAGGCTTCCGTCGCATGTGCAGCCTTAATGGGCACTTTTTTAAATGTAAAAAATTCTACTTGTGCGACGCCGGGACGGGCCGCTAGTTGGGCATACAAATATATAATGGCAGAAAGATGTTCTTGGAAAGGGTTCATCCGTTATATTCCAGAAGTTTTAGCGATATTACTTTTCCCAGAAATACGACGTTGTGAAAGAAATTTCGCATTAGTAGTTTGCATGATATTATTATAAGACTCAATGAAAAATATTCTTATGTTATAATCAATTTTTTTTTGATGGGTGAAAATGGTATGGTAACCCCGCCTGCACTAACGGTATACGCTGGTAGAGCACCAGTGAAGGGTGATAGATGAGAATGAAAAGAGGCCAGTTAGACCATCATGATAAATTCATCAGGAATTACCCATGATGGTTTCCAGGAGGAACCGCGAGGAGGTCGACCTGGTTGGGTATATTGCTAGCAATGGGATTCTCAGTCTCCCTTACTAACAATCCATTTCCCCCCTGTTATAATCTATTAGGTGAATGACCTTGATATTGTTTTAGCTAGCTATGAGTAAATTGTTTTTGGTCAAATGAAGTCTGAATATTACTTTAACCACAGATTAATTATTACAGTTTGCTTTTAAGTTGCATTGATTTTTATTCATTTTTTTTTTCTTAATTAAACAGCGAGGTTTGCAAAAAGTTGCTCTTATCGTGCAATCTCAATTACTTAAGAAAGTCGTCTTTTACATTATCTTGACATTATAATGATTATAATTAAAACAATTATTATAATGTAAAATTCCACTGATAACGCGGTCTGATTTCAAGAGCTGAGAGCAAACTCGACTGGTGTGCGTAAACATTATTATCTTTATACGTTTGATAATACGCATTCTATGTGTCTATTCCTTAGGGTGAAGACGTTTTTGTTGTTTTTTTTTTTTTTTTAAAAAAAAGTGAAATTGCAAATAAAAATGCGGTTGTCTGGTGAGAGGCGCGACGCCGGTCGTCCCGCCTCCGTTTGATTTTGGAACACGAGCTTGGAACTATGTACATGGAAGCGAGCGGAAAGTGAACAGTCACCCGGTCAGATGTGTTTTGTTGCCTATCTTGAGCGCACGTGCTTCTCGTTACCAATACTGTGTGCCGTTTGTGCGAACTGTCTGTGTTTTAAACTTTGACAAGGTACGTACCGTTATTATTATTAATGTGCAAGTGTGTGCGTTCACGTCTTGAATGAATTTGTATATATAAATGTCAAAATTGTAAGCCTGTGTGCTGTTTACACGATGAATGGCTGTTTATCGTCCGACACTCGGCTGGTTAACGCGTTTCGGTTGTGTTAAACGACGTTTATTGAACACTAAAAAGTATGTAAAGTATTGAAATATTTATTGTGATAACGTGGAAAGTTGTAAAATTGTAACTGTGTGTAAATAAAAATACGTAATAAGAGTATCGATTCCGTATTGCAGCAAGTATGCAATAAATAATAGTAAATATTGTAGATAAGTTATAGCTAGCGATAAGTAGGGTTCGTACTATGTATAAGCACTAAATAACTAACGGATGTACTGTTAAGTACATTTTTTTATAATTTTAAGCATAGAAATCGTATAATTGATAACAGACATACTTATACGTACTCATGAATATAAATATTTGTATTACGCGGGGATTGAACTCGCAAATTATTGGAGACGTTTTTTTTTTATTTAATAATGGAATGGCAACCCCGCCCGCGCTAACGGTATACACTGGCGAGGCACTAGTGAGAATGAAAAGGCAGGTCAGTTAACCCATCGTGATGAATACAGCTGGGATTCAGTAGGATGGTTTCCAAGGGAAACCACGTGGAGGTCAACCTGATAGTGTATATTGCTGGCAATGGAACTGGTAGTCTGCATTACTAATAATGATGCCCCCCCCCCCTTTCCCACCAGGGAAGTGACGTAGTGTGTCGCTATACTATTAAGATTGTTAAATTTACCTCTATGTTGCGATGGTTAGGTAACTTTTTTCTATTTATGACTATTGGGAAAATTACAGTATAATTAAAATACAGAAGTACTTTAGTGCTTGTTTTATTGCTCGAGTTTTTGCGTCCTCTTTACCAGTCTCTGCTTACCTATTACACGATAACAAAAACTCATCAGTTTTTATGTAGACAAAACTGGTTTTCTTTTATCTTGCTCTATATTCGTACCTTTAATGAGAACGTGTAGATTTAGGTAACCTTAATTCGGAATACTTACTTTCAGCGGTACCTTGTAGGTTCATTTACGGGGTGCAGAGGAATAACACCTGAGTCCTCAGGAACGGCAACGCATGGGGGTATCATGGGCGAAACAGTATACTCTGTTATGTCTATGGTACTGCTCATGTCTATAGGCGACGGTTACCACTTTCCATCAGGTGGGCCGTCAGCTTGTTTGCCATTCTAAGTCGTATAAAAAAAAGGTGTTATTTTGCAGTAATACTTATTCTACTTATGTTAGATACAGAGTCTTTATTACTATTAATAATTGTTAAAAAAAGAAAAAAAAAGCAATTAATTTTGCTGGTAATATTTCTGTTGCTATGCAGATGCGTTTGCATGCCTGCGTTTTTTACTAGATATTTTTTTTAATGCGTGATAATGGAATGGTAACCCCACCCGCGCTATCGGTATACACCGGCGGGGCACCAGTGAAGGATGATAGGTCAGGATGAAGCAGGTCAGTTAGCCCATCGTGATGAATTCAACAAGAATTGTTCACGATGGTTTCCAGGGAGAACCACGAGGAGGTCGACCTAATAGGGCGTATTGCTAGCAATGGGGCTGTCAAACTCCATTGGTAATAATCCCTTTCCTCCCTCTAGTAGATCTGATTCAATCCTACAAACTAATTTTATTGTTACGTATTTAAAAAAAAAAAAAGAATTGATGAACAAAATTACAGGCAATAATTATTGTAAATACATACAGATATTTTAAAAATAAATTATTCCTTCTTTAAAAAAAATTTAGAGAAACTGGCTCAGCCGCTTTCAGTTTATGCGCATACCAACCAACAGTGTTACATTTTTATTTAGGTACTAGCGGCGCGTCCCGGCTTTGCACGGATGGACATTTCTACAACATTTTAAAAAGTCATTATTGTGACATAACGATAATAGTTGGACATATAGTATCGCGAAGTTTTTTGTAGTTATTGATATTTTCTTCAATATTGTAGAACATACTTTTGTTCTATCACCAATAGTTTCCGCAGCGCACGCGGCGAAAGATATTTTATAGCATTTTTTTTACACCTTGAATTACGTTACTAAAGTTTTAGTAAGGATTCCTAATCTTTTTCAGCAATAAATATAGCCTATGTTACTAAGGGTGAATGTAGCTTTCTAATGGTGAAAGAATTTTTGAAATCGGCAAAGTAGTTTTTGAGTTTATTCATTACAAACATACATACACACAACAATACAAATCTTTCCTCTTTATAATATAAGTGTAGATGTAGATAGTGATAATATTATCTCTTGAATGAAGCAAAAGCTATGACCGTGACATGGTTATTTTGTAGTTTAATATCAACTTCAAACATATTGCAACTTTTTTTTATAATTATAATAGTTCCGAGATTAAACTCCGTTTCACCTATCTCATCAGGTCATCATCTCACTTCAATGAGATGATGAGTGCGGTGATGAATTCGTAGGTTCATGAACAGCTTAAAAGCTTTTGTCTTAAAAGAGTTTTATACAGTTAAAAGAGTCTACTATCAATTAATAACATCGTTATAACAGTATGTTTTTTGTGTTACTGGTAAAAAAACCGGATTGATTTACATGTATTTTTGTTGAGAATACTGGAACATTTTAAAAACTAATTAGTTTAGACTTTACTTGTGACATAATGAGTTATTTTGATTTAAAAACTAAATTACTGAACCGATTTTGATAAAATTCATATGGGACCAATCTTTAACTACATATATCCTTTCAGATAAAACAGAATTCTCCAAATCCGTTCACAACTGACGGAGTTATGAGGTAACAACTATAAAAAATACACTGAATTGAGAACTTCCAGTTTTTTAATTCTATCTAGAAGCGATCTATTTTATCGTTTTTTTTTTACTTCTGAAATCCACGCATAGAAAGAAGAAGTAGTGGGCAAAAGCTAGTCATAAATAAAATATAATGTGTACTTTTTTTTTTATAATAAATCTGTATACTAGACCGGGGAGGGTAAGGAATTGCTAGTAAGGATTACCAGTCCCATTGCTAGCAATATATCCTGTCAGATCGATCTCCACTCGATCCCATCTGGAAACAATCGTGCTTAATTCCAGGTGTCGAACTGCTTAAATCACGATGGGCTAACTGACTTGCCTTTTTATTCTGACGTATTCTTCATTGGTGCCCCGCCAGAGTATACCGTTAGCGCAGGCGCGGCTTCCATTCCATTAGCATTTAAAAAAAAAAACTATATACTAGGCCTAGAGTACACTGTAGGTATGTCTATTTACAATGATACAGTCATTAGTCATTACTCCTGAACGTGACTTTATATTGCAGATATAGATTTTGTAAAATGTTCGAGTATTTGACTCATATATGCGTACATAAGTCATATAACAAAAATGTTATTTGTTATATTAATTTACACTGCTTTAGATAGATAGATAGATACTCTTTATTGTTTCCTTCAAAAGATTACAATAGTGAACTTATTATAAATATAAACAATTACAAGAAATAATCACAATGAGAAAATAATGTGCGACCTTATCGCTAAAAGCGATCTCTTCCAGGCAACCTTTGAATGGAGAGGAGTAATTATAAACAGTTTGATCGGAGGCACGATGAAAAATTTTGTTAGTTCTAAATATGGGAGATGTGATACATATATGATACTTTAATTCAAGTTAGACTGGTATTTTCCTTTTAAAAATCTTGGCAGTTCTAATTAACTATGGGTATAAAGTTATTATTTTATTCCCTCAACAGGGAGTTGAGGATTTTCTTAAACACTATATTTTTTTTTTATGCAAGAGGAAGACTTTGTACAAAAGTCGATTCCTCTGTACCTCTGTCCCATATCGTGTTTCAACCGTGAAACACAGTTTGCAACACTGTGTTTCGGTTTGAAGAATGTGGAATATAGCATGAATTTTGGGTAAAAAGGAATAAACCTGAGTCCTTGGAATGGCAACGCATGGGGGGCTTATCATCATGGGCGAAACCTATATGCTTGTTATGTCCATGATACCTCATGTCTATAAGCGACGGTTATATGTATAGTTGTATAAAAAAAAAACTTACAATGGCATACAAGCTGACGGCCCACCTGATGGAAAGTGGTAACTGTTGCCTATAAAGATGAGCAGTACCATGGACATAACATAGTATACTGTTTGCCCATGACAACCATTCGTTGTCATTCCATCAGGACTCAGGTGTTATTACTGTACCCTGTAAATTCACTGCACTTTGTATTTTGTAATTTCACTTTACATAATTCATACTTCATAATTATTAAATAAATGTCGGTCAATGACCTTGAACGTCGCGAACTACTGAAGAGCAGTTTGATTCATAATACCTACTATTGTAACCACAAACTGTTCACATAAATTGTGTAACATTACAAATATCATACATTATCAAATATAGACTTTTTCTTTTTCAATATAAATTGTAAAAGTACCGCGTTTTCATAAGTACTTTTTGCGGCCAATTGTGACAAAAAATTCGCTGATGGTAACAAGAAATAACTCAATGGACGTATAACTAAAATAAACCTCAAATGTTATTTACGATTATACTATTAAAATTATCTAAATTAAAAAATATCTTCTGTATTAGTATAATGGTAAAAAAGAAAACATGCAGTTTGCCTGATAGTGCTGGATAGCCATCGAAATTTTAGAGATTTGAGAGAAGTCATGTAGTTCGAAGGTATTTGATGCGTATATTTCGCAAATTCACATAAAAAAAAAAACCCGTCAATTAGCACACAGCACAGGTGCGTCTGTGCTTTGAGTCAAAGTGGCAATAAAAATGTAATGTAGCACCAGGCGTGTCAAAAAGCAAGAATGAGGGGTGCCGACCTTAAAGAAATGTTAGAAATTTTTAGGATACTACTTATTAAAGTTGCTAGAGAATATTTTGGCAGGGTGTTAATTCCAAAACTAGTGCAG